GCAAACAAACGGATATACACTAGTTCATCGCCCTCAGTATTGTCCAAACAGTCCCCATCAAACTCTGGATCACTTGCATGATCAGGGAATTTCACATTTCTTCCATCACTTTAGTAAACGCCTCAGACAATGTAAGATTTTTGCTGAACTTATCAATTCATAAATCACGTATTGCCTGTGCCAAAACACAAAATTTGAAGATGGAAATCATAGGTCAGTAATTTACACCACCTTGATGACCCCAAAAACCATTAACAAGTTTCTCAAACCACATATCCCACATGCCTCAGAGTAAACTAACTAACAAAATTCCACCTAACGTTACGCTAACCGTACACAAACGTTAGTCTACACCAGTGTTTCCCAATCCGAGTCCGCGGTCTCAAATAAGTCCGCGGAGCGTTTGAATGAGTCTGCAACGAGACATAAATTCACTGCGGGTCGCAAACGTTTTTGCGAAAATTAACTATCAGCCAAGTTACGATTTGCGTTAGAATTTACATAAAACATAAAAAGCAAGTTTATTCACATAACATTAATTGAGTCAATAATTACTGGTTATTGAGTAGGGCTGGGCATATATTCAACTATTAGAATAGCAATTTACTATTCGAAAATTTGGTAACAGGTGACGCGACAGTGTCGCGTCGTCTAATCAAACGATTGGATACTCAACTCGCTTGCGATTTCCGACGAAAACACAAGTCGGCACACGTGTGGATAGATAAATACCTAAGTAAGTACCGAGTTCTCGCGAATTCGAACAACAGGAATAATTTTTCTAAATTGAAAAGCGGCAACCCAAATTTTCTAAATTGAAAAGCGGCAATAATAAATAGTAAATACTGAAAATAAAACGGAGAACACCATACGTTTTGTTTTATGATGATCCGCGACCAATTAAAAACGCTTTTTTAGACATTTCGGGTGCTACCGTAGTAAGCTATACGTATCAGGGCATTATCCATTAGGATTCTTTGCCTTACTGCCCCCATATTAGTAGGTACAGTACTGGAGCGCTGTAAGTGTTGTACAAACAGCTCAGATTTGTCGAATTCACAAAAATACCAATTTAAAACAAAACATAATCGGGCACTCTACCACGCATTTTTGTGTCCACGGATTGTCATGATATCTGGTAATGCTTTTATTTCGTCAACACAACCGCAGATTGAAATGATCACAATGATATGATAACGCAAAGCGATGAATGTGTATTTTTGATTTACTAATATACTTTAGATACATTTTTAATAAGTACTAAATCAAGTTGTACTTTCTGGAAATTTATAGCAGATAGTAGGATTTTTCTAACGGCGATAACAAACTCGCAAGATCGCAAAAAATATGTATCAAAACTAAATATAATCGGGCAATATACTATCACATTATTATGTTCGTAGATTGCCGTGGCATTTTAAAGAAGTAATGCTTTCATCTTTTCGTAAGTCGACGATGTCGCGAGTTACCGTAAGCACAATTAAATTAAAATAGAATGACATTTTAAATTCTCGTCGTTGTCATGGACTGAATATTGTACGACAGAAAAGACCATTTATACACTAAAGAAGTCGGCTCTTAACGAACGCATAATTGCGGCTAATTTTCGATTTTGAAATCCGTTAAAATTCTGTTGTATTTGGTTTTATTATTTCTTCACAGAGAGTACGGTTGCATTAAACGAACCTTGAGTCCGCAAAGGTTTTCGTCGGGGAGAAAATAGTCCGCGCCAAAAAAAAGTTGGGAAACGCTGGTCTACACAAAACACCGGTATTTTGCGGCGCAGTTCTTACCACTTCATGGCAGTTCCTGCCACGAACGAACCGATGGCAGCTCTTGCCGTGGTTATGGGCATGGCGCTATTTTCGGTATATTCACAAATTCATGTACCAGGTTTTAGTTTATCATGCGAAATTATATCTACTCAAACCCGGAACCTAACCCCAAATCCATACGATTTGTATCCATAAAAAAATGTTCCAACTTACCCAATATTTATCACCATCAGTGGCAGCCCTGCTATTAAGGCTGGGCATTTCGAATCGAATAGTAAATTATTCGAATTGGTTCAGAGCGAAATTGCGAATCGCAGCCATCTTTTTTTTTTTCTTTTCGCCCTGTGGTCGAGCTAACGCCCGAAAGACGGGTGATACGCTCAACTAGCTGCCCCAATCGTGTCAAATCTGATGAAAAAATATACCGAAAAAATTCTGCATCTTTGATCGTCTATGAGTCTAGTAATGGAATTCATACAATAGGATCTGTTGCTATGGAATGTATTTTTCGTAATAATGTCACATATTTGCTTAAATTTTAAGTTGTTGGATAGAAATGTCACACTTATTATTGGAATCAGTGATTGTTTAAATTCGAATGTTCTCACTTTGAAAGTGCATGAGTTGAAGTCCCGCAGTGTAATTTCGCCCGAGTTCGTTCAAAAATACGTAGAAAATAAGTTATCTGATCTATTTGATAGCAAGTTAGGTGAATTGTCTATCATGCTACTTACTTATCACATGAAACTTCGATCTGTTACACAGCCTGTGATGACCGCCCAGAAAAGTTTCTGTTGCAATGCAGAAACTTGTGAATAAACTTGCGCATCCCGTCCATCATCATGTTCGGGCATCTGGAAACGAATAACTGGCTGACTAATCTAAGTGCATGGACTGGTAACCGGATTTCCTCTCACCCGGCATAAATAGGTATATCCTATACTTTAACCTTGGTTTGCTACGTTTACTGTCATGTCTAATATTGAAACAATATCATTTTAAGATATAGGTATGCATTTGAACCACTACATCGTTCGACAAATGCAACGCCGAATAGAACTAGTATCCTATTCAAAAGAACACAGAACGCTATAAATGCCTAATCAAAATCACGCCAATGAGTTCTCAGTACTATTTCATCAATGGATCATACTAATTACACTGGCCAACAATTTTTCACTTTTCGAATGTTGTTTAAATTTTTGCAACTGATTTGGGGTATTTTGGCACTGCTGAATCCGGAAATAACATCCGTTTCTCTCCACCAAGTCAAGTTTGTGTGTTTCAAAAACTCAGCCCGATTGACAAAATTGATTACATTTTTGTGTCATTATGACGTCATTTTGTCAGCACACATACTAAAAGAGGAAAAAAATTCTTTGTTCAACAATATATATTGATTACGAGATGGAAACATTGATTAATAAAACTGAATGGTGGACATTGAGAAAGAAAAGTAATGGAAAATGTAAAAAAAAAATTCGAAAACAGTTTTGTATTTCTAATCGGAGTGATAAATTCAAGCCAGATGGACTCGACATCCAATACTCCAGAAAAAGCGAATTACGTCGTTTTTCAAACGAGATAAGAGTGGCCGTCAGGAGCGAAACGCAACGCAAAATATTCAAAATACAATGGGCGAATGTTTTCGCGAGCTGTTTCGAGCGAGCTCAATCTCTGTTTGTTTATTTCTGTGCGGGTAACGATTACAAGCTCGTTTACGCGCCGCAAACGATAGTGAACTCGCAAAAATTACTTTTTTCGAGTAATAACAGATTCATTGTATATATCTTAGCTTTCAAATACTTACAGATATAAAACTCGTAGAATTTAAAATATGCTAAAGAAAAGTGACGCGCAACCGGGATCACAAACGCTCGGACAAGCATATATCATGCTTGAAAACGACGCAAAAATATCTTATTGCTCTTGTTTTGACATACGTCCACGATAAGACGTATACATAAAGAATATTAACTCTTACTGACCAATCATATTAGAGCCATATTTATATTACACATAAGTGTCATGCGAAAATTTAAGGTTAAAAGCCTGGCACATATAAGTGAAGCAGTCACCATAAAGTGTCGTGTCGAGAGCCTTAGTAAACTGCTTGATCAAGCCAAGCTTAATGAGCAATGGAGGGAAGAGTATTCAACCAGAGTGTTATTGATGACGCTCCTTTCTTTGCAATGCACCAGTTCCTCCCACCGTGATGTGGCACTCTAAGCTTGAGCAAAAGCTGCACAATATCGGATCGGCACAGTAAACCAAATTCTTTTTTTCCGAGAACAAAATGGAGGTATTCTTAATGCCTGTTGCAGAAGAAGCCGATATAAGTACTGTCAGAAAGGGATTTTTTTTTTCTTCAATCTGGAAGCCAACGGTTTGACAGAGTCCTTTGGCAATCTGAGGTCGCGAACTAGATCATTCAACCCTCTTTTGGGAAAATTGATGTGGAGCATCATCTTTAAAAACCATTTCTCCTTCTTCATATCCTTTGAAACTGGAGGTATCCTCGTCGCTAATGGAGGTCTTCTCATTCATTCGCAAAAGAATAATAGGTAAAGATATTCATTAACTTACACAAAAGAGAGAAGAAAACAAAGAAGGCAAAATTATCAATGAACACGTTGCCATGATTAAAAAACAAACAAGATTGCAAGATTCTACACGAAACGAATTGTAAAAAAACAAAAATAAATCAATGATTAAAGATCAAGCACTTTTAAAAGTTAACCCGGTCCATGAGCAAAAAATAAACGTATTCCACAGAGAATTTTACCCCTACCAATTTCTTCTAAAATGCTCTATCTAACCATGCGTGAATGTGAACAAAATCTTAAAAAACGACATGTGGCCATTAATGTGATTTTTGAATTCAGCACGCCAGATTCACCCTAAATCAACTGAAAAACGCAGACCGCAAATTTGTTGTTGACCAGTGTTATCGATTGATTTTTGCAGGATTACCTTTTTAAAATTGGGGTCTCGCAAACGATTAACTTTATTGAAGAATCAAAATCGTCGAAAAATATTTTTCGTATGAAGCCACCTATCGATGCGACTGAAATATCCTTGGTCACTCAATCAACATTTGTCATTTGCATCGCAATTGTGATTACGATTGGGCTACAATTTTCAGCTGCATTGCAGGTCGCCATTCTGTGTTTACGAAAAACAGAAAAACGCTTTGTTTGCTAACTAACTGGTCTGATCGTCGCGAGTAATTCCGAATGTAGGTCAGTTTGAGCTGTTCAAGCAAATAACAACAAGTGAATCTTATTTTGAGCAGGTCATAGCGCTGGATTGTCTTTGTATAATAGTTAGCAGTATGTTAATCAGCATTTTATCAATATTGCTGCTTGTATTGTCTCTTTACTATTTACGCGTTTTTATGAAAGACAGACATCTTCCTCCGGGACCAGCAGGACTACCGATAGTTGGATATCTTCCATTTTTGGGGCGTAATCCAGCAATAACCTACTTGAAACTATCTGAAAAATATGGACCTGTATTTTCCATTCGAATTGGTGGTAATACGATGATCATCCTGAACACAAGGGAGGCGATATTTCAGGTATATATATACAGTATAGGCTATTTTCGACTCAATTTACCTGGTCTTTTTATTATTTGTTACTGACCTTTCATTGTTAATTTAACTTTTCAGGCGTTTTCTAAACAAGCAAAATTCACTGCTGACCGACCACCACATCCAATATTTAATGAAATGTCATCAGGAAAAAATATTTCGATGACCAATGGTCGACGTTGGAGAATTGGCCGAACACTTGCAATGAAATTTTTGAAAAAGTAAAAAATTCATAGATTGTAAAATGGCTAAGTTCAAATGTTCGACAATTTGACCAGATTGTTTATTAAATTTTTCTGTCATTCTCCATTTCATTGTGCAGGTAGATATAGCATTGGTCTGTAACGACACTTAAACACTTTGGAATAAACTAGACTCTATTAATTGAAACGCATTACATTTTCTGGGATATTACAGTCATGATAAATATCACAGTTTCTGTTAATCCATTTTTAACTTGTAGTTTCAGCAAACAAAAAGTTGAACACATAATAGCCGAGGAATCGGAATATCTGTGTGATGCATTACGTGACACTGGCGGTAAACCATTGGAAAACCATGTATGTTTTATTGTTATAATACATTCAGTTTTATATTTGATGACAGTTGACGATTTTAAATGCTTCGATCACTCGGGTTCTCTGAATAATGTTGGCCAGTGTGCCAGTTTTAGAGCATGTAGCTTTGTCGTGGGGATATTCTATTACGTCCGATGAAGGAGCAATGCAAAGATTCAATCCCCTGACATCCCGCCCCTAACCCCTAATTTTGAGGTTTGACAGCCCCTTCAATTCTTAACTCTTAAAATATCTGTACTTAAATCTCCAGAGACGGGTATATAGCAGTACAGATGGTCAGTCAAATATATATAGAGCATTTTAAAATTAGATTTATCGCTCATAGCAGAATATAGCCTACAGATATACTCGTATGAGCGCTGATAATGATTTACAGGAAACAAATAAGTCCCATTAATTTCCCAAAACTGCAACATTGACACATGCTGGTAGGATTCCAAGCCATACAAATATTAATAACCCAATTACAACAACCATTGCTACAAGTTCAGCAATCGATTGTATATCTATATGAAACGAAGTTCAGTAATCATTAGATCCGAAATCTTCGCGTACCCCTGCTAGGTAAACCCCTATAATATGTTAAAATATGTTAATACATTGGAATATCCCTACCGTCAGCCAATTCTAGGTGTGTATTATTTTACCGTTCTACGCATTTTTTTTCGCCTTGTATAATTATATATTTCCAACAAAATGATATATATTTGTTGATATAGCCCAATAATCTTCTCGTTTCAATTTTAGGGAATACTTGCAAAAGCCGTTATGAACGTTTTAAGCAGCCTAATGGTTGGAGGTAGATTTTCTTATGAAGGCCAAGTTGGTCTTGGAAAGATGCTCTCATACACATCACAGTGAGTGTTCTATATAAAAAATGACAAAAAAAATGTACTCCATGGTGCGTAAAAAAGAACTTTTCCGTTTGAGTCCAGAATGGACATATTGGAACGTATCTTTTGAACATGAATTTGAAACACTTGAATTTTTAGGCAAAATTAATTTTTTTTTACCACTGCCTGCCTCATGACGAACTATCACATCATCGGCTATTTAAAACAAAGATGTTATTTCTACTTTTCTTGTGTTGATAGAAACAACGCGAAATAAGGCGCCACTGGCATTGGGGTTGGTCAATAACATCTTATACTTCGTTTTTTGATGTTTTTTCATAACCACTCCAGCTTTGACACGTTCTCCTTTTCAGGTTGTCTGATGAATATCACGGAGACATTTTGGGAATTCTGTTGATTGCCCCGTTTCTGAGATTTCTTCCCTTTATCAAGCAGTCGTATCAAAAGTTGCTGGCAGGAATTGCCGGTATTGAAGGTATACTTATGTTGATAATGATTGATATTAATTAATCTGTTAAGAAATAAAATAAGAACTTCGACAATGAGAAACACTACAAAGCCACATATATCCTCTATTCGGCATATTCGGATAAACTCCTGCAGACGCATTTGAGATTTACTACAGCTCGAATCAAACTAATAAACATGAGCCAGGTAACGCATTGAGCCGCGCACAGAGGACGCCAAAATCTTTTTATTGTTTAATTAAAGTGGTGTTGCACTGCCATCTAGGTATTTAAAATTGGTGGTTGAATGCGGAATGTATATGTATGAAAAATTATGCGGAAACTTCACTGAAATTATGGATATCCTCCGAATCAAAATCATAACTGTTTTAATGAGGCTTTTGGTAACTGTTGAATACGGGAAAAAGCAATGCATAATGCTCGATAGAGGAGGGGCTCATAACGCTAGCTCATTTTCAAAGTTTTCTTGCACAAAATGGCCTTCAGATTAGATATGTGGTTAAATTTCAGTGGTTGAAGATTGCATTTTTTGCGAGAAGGCTGTTTATTTACTTATCTGTGGACTCAAAAGTTGCACTCGTTGTGGCGGTCTCATGTTCGTTAGCAGTCTGGGCAGGCGTAACCGGTAGTCTATAGTGACAGATTACATGCCCTACTTCGCTTTCGTTTCCATATATTTGAGCAATTGCTCTCTTGTTATTAGTGAAAGCCTGTGAGTCTCCAATGTATGGCGTTTTAAAAGTCATTCTTTGTTATCAAAGTAGGTCGAGATATCGTTGATCAAATATTTAAGAATAGTATCTTCGAGCATAATGTTTGTACAGTTACGATGGAATGAATGTTACACAACATGTCAATTGCGTATCGATGTCCATACCTGACTCAATAATCGCATTTTTAAATTATTGTACAGGAGAAATGAAAAACATTGCTGAAGATCATCGACAATCATATGATAAGAACCATTGTCGAGATTATATCGATTTCCTTCTGAATGAGGTAAACAATAACATTTTCACGAGAAAAACCATTATCCTGATTATATCGGTTTCCTTTTAAAATGAGGTGAACGCTAACATTTTCACTTTCGATAATTTTGTTGAAGTAAATTCAATGCTGATTCAGATATTGAGTGAATTCAAAAAAAATCCGCAGGCGGCAGTTATGGACACATCCGTCGATAGTTAAAATTGAAACGCTAGCGAGCCAATGCTTTGCTATCACAAAATCAGTTTTCTGGATGAATTATATATCGTCACGCTAATAACCGAATTGCGTAAGTCATTTTTAGCAGTTTTAAGAAAAACGTTAAAAACTTCCTAATGATATTACTATAACATTGAGAGTCAATAATTTGTCATAGTTCAATTTTTTGATGGTAGACGGATTTAAGTTAATTTGTATGACGCAGTCATATGACGTCATAATGGCGCACTGTGACTTCGGCAGAAATGTGTCTATGACTTGGGGTTGGGACATACGCATTTTTGCAACTTGACAATATGCACCAGTCCTGAAAACCAAACAATTCAAAAACAAATGTAATTCTTAGTATCTACGATGTCTAATCCCCAAAATGGCTAATCTGTTTTAATTACATTATTTTTTATGTTTAAAAATATATATTTCATCAATATAACACGCTCTGCACACCCATCGAAATAAGACTAAGATTAAATATATATAAAGAATAAAACAGCAATGTACCCTTATATAGTAGCCAACCAAGGTGAATTGGACGCAGACAGTGAATATCACAAGTGCACGCCTTCTCATACTGCAATATAAATTCAAATAATACGCGCTAAGCTAGAATCCGAGATGCAAAAACTCAAAAATCCGTCGCCGAGGTTATTTTGCCGTTGTGACGTCACAATAGTTCTGCGTTAACAATGATAATTCATTATGACGAAACAAATGAGCAAATTTGCATGTCATACAAAATCTCAATTTTTATGGGTTTTGGAATTCTTAAAATAAAATCTGAGTTAACCGACAGATGCGCAGCATTACATAAATACCTATTTTATAAAAAAAAAAACTCAAAACCGCCAAAAATGACATACGCAATTCGGTTATTAGCGTGACGATATACAATTTCATTTTAAAGATTCAATCCTATGTTTGACCGTGCTACAAAAATCTAAATGCCAATTGCTCGATTTACATTTTGCATTAATTAATAAACATAGACATGAGATTTGCAATGAATCTCTTTTGGATATTCTGCCGTAACAGACCGTTCATTGGCATGCTAAAATATCTTAATTAAGGAACAAGATGACTATATCAGAACCGCTCAGGATATGATAGCAGCGGGCACTGATACGACTGCCAGTACTTTGCGATGGTTCTTTCTTGCAATGATTATATACCCTGAATACCAGAAGAAACTTTCTGATGAAATATCTGATGTTATAGGTTAGTATGCGCTTGGGTATAAGCTGGTCCTTTGCTTGTTTAAAACCATTGATCCACTGTTCATCATCCAAGCTCATTGTCTCTATCGGATTGACCATGAGTTGCGGAGAAAAGCATTTTTTTTCACAAGAACAACCACAAAAATGTAGAAAACGATCTATAGATCCACTTTGTGTCTAATATTTCAATCGATAATCAATTGATAATTAAATATCGATAGGTTCAAGTGGGAAAATAGAAATGAAACATCAGGATCAAATGCCATATACACGAGCTTTTATTCAGGAAATATTGAGATATCAGTCACCAGTACCGCTTGGTCTACCCCATAAAACAACATCTGAAATAACCGTACAAGGATTCAAGATTCCACCAAATACAACGGTTTGTTGATCAATTTATTGATTATTTGGAGAAACTTCAGTAGATTGATGATATTATATAAATATATTGACAATCTTGGAGTGGGCCAAATTTAAATAGACTTCAAGAACCGGAGCTGAAATTTCTGCGCATTTGTGCCTTGGCATAACTATATATATACGTGTTTTGTGAGACATTTGTGAAGATGTAGTTTTGCAATAATGGGCTTTTGCTAGAGATCGATTATGAAATGACATTCTGTGCAAACGTAATTTTGCGAGAATAAAATCTTTGAGCGAATGAGTTGTGGCACAGTGCAACACAACAAAACTACACATTAGTAGTTAGAAAATCCGTTGTTGGGCCTCTGTTCAATTAGACAAACAGTAAAAACAACAAATCTTAATCTTTTTTTACTTTTGCAAATTATGTGGCTTAAGCACTATAGTAGGAAACACCGTTGCCGTGGATTTGACTTGCTTGTGAGTTTGCGAGTAAATGCTGTATACTTACAATGAACATTTTTGTAATGACACCAATGAACACCAAGATGAAGTGTTCAATGCTCTAAAATATGTATTGTAAACAGAGTTTTTTTGTTTGTTTTTGAAACAGATTCTTGCAAACTTTTGGGGTTCTCAACGCGATCCCAAAATTGTCACGGATCCTAATAAATTTCTACCGGAAAGATTTATTGATTCCAACGGGCGATTTGTTAACAATGATCACTTGTTACCTTTTGGAATCGGAAGTCGTCAATGCATAGGAGAGCAGATAGCAAGAATGCAATTGTTTATGTTCCTTACGAATATAGTACAAAAATTTCAGATTCGTGCTTCCAAAAATAAGCGTTTACCCTCTTTCAATCAAGGAGTATTGGGCATTGGTTACAGTCCTCATGACTTCGCTGTAGAATTTCACGAAAAATAAATTTGCTTTTTATTGTTTACGGGTAATCTTTGAGAATAACCTATATAGTTATAAGCCATTGTAATTTGGAGCTAGTAATTAGATGCTGCGCTATTCTTCTAATTGCCTGAATGACTTTAATCCGACATTGAGTATCTTCTTCAGAAAATAATTTACTTAAGTACGTACTGTTACCGTATTTTACGCACCGTAAGACGCACTTTCAGTCTTTTCCCCTAAAAATCTATGGACAAAACCTCAATCTAAGCAATTTATTGGCGTGCCGCCTTACGGTATGTAAAATACGGTACTTGGAAATTTCTTTTTTGTTGTTGTTCTAACAAGTAACAACAACAACAATTTAAGAAGAGAACCATAAGTCCACTTCGCGTTAAATAAAATGTGTTTTGTTCTTTAAACGAATAACAGATGATGAATTTTTTTTTATGATTATAGTATATAATGTGAAACTATTTCGTTGATTATATTTCACAAAATCTATCTTCTTTTCTCAAAATAAGCGATGATATCTTGCCTTATTCATGTAGTAATTCGTTTTTATTGAAAATTTATGAAATCAGAAACACCAAAAATAAATTAAAAATCAATAAAAAATTCACCACGGCATAGTCTTGTTTAACATATTATAAAGTAAAGTATTATGAGATTTATAAAAATTTCGTAACTTTTCGTAAGTCTTCGGAAACATAGACCGTACTCCATTCCGCGTTCTGCCTTTTCCACTACCAAGGCAAAAAATATTTTTGTTTTTTTGATCCGGAAATTCAGTGGCATCAGTTTCAATAGTACTGTTATTCTCTTTGATCCACCATCGATTTAAACAATAAAATCCATTTTCCGGTGATAAAACAAAATCTTCTGTCAAAATTAATTTAGGAATACCAAGAAAATCTTCAATTTCTTCTATTAAATTCCCTGGATCTGTGATCCATTCGTCACCATTGATAATCAAAAGTTGAGAGCTGTTGAAGTTTTTGAGCCATTTCTGGGCGTTGTTATGGTAAATTCCCTTTGTTACTACGCACGATTTTGAGCTCCTTCTGCAAACTGTCTTGGCTTTTACAGCGACATCGTTTTCGTTGTTGGTATTTTGTGTTATTCTTTCTATGACGTTATCCGTCAATTTTTCAAACTGTTCTGCGAAGAATTCACCGTCTTTGTCCTTATTTTTTGCAAATAATCCATGTACATAGTCAGAAAAGGCCCTTTTTGTCGGATTACAAAGACATAAAATGAGTTTAGCGTTCGGAGCAAGCTCTTTAATATAGGGGATGACCCTATCCGCCATGTAAAAATAAAGGGGAGTCTTCTCCATAGCCAGTTCGTCATCTGCAACCGGGGGCATTATCTTTTTGTAATATTCTATCCCTCGCAAATGTTTTTTGACAAAGAAGAAGGTTTCCACTCTACGTGGTAGTTTAATTAAAGGATGTTCCGCTAGGAAGTGAACAAGTGCACCCGTTCCACATTTCTTCACACCCAGGCCTATAACATCAGCAACGCGCTTACTGGTTTCAACATGGCGATTAACAGTATATTTTTTCCACAATAATTCCCTCTCATGGAATGTTATTCGCGGTTCATTCGTCCTTTTCTTATCTATCTCATTGTTAGTATCAAAATCAAAAATAGATGAATATACCAATCGAGATTCCAAATACTTTCTTCGTTGTGAAATCATATAAGTCGAAGCCATAAAAACAGATGCGACCACAACAATTTGAATCATAAGCTTTTTAGTGTATGTCATTGTGAATGGAAGTCAGTTGAAACATCATTTATATTCCATTCTAGAATTGGACAAGAATAAGACAGGAGTATTATTAATTATAACACTAAAATAAGAAGCAACAGGAATTACTCAAAAGTAAGCGAATGGACGAACTCAGACTATAAACAAAATGTAGTGCAGAATGGTACGTTGCAAAAGGGCAATGCACAAAAAGATGGACACCATTTTTCACAAGAACGACAATAAGAATTTGGCCAAACATCCACAGGTCCACTTCGTTTCTAATAATATAAATATATATGAAAAATATATATTACCATAGTATTCAAGGGCAAATCGTAATCATCAGAGCTTAGATGGTATTTATCAGTCTTGACACTTTGACATTAATTATCGTGCCGCCATGTTAACCCGAGTTTCAAATTCAAACAAACTGTACCTTACACAGATACCGCCCGAAGCAGCGATCTCTCAACTAACGAAACGCTTATCAATAATAATACGTTTGTCGAATTCCAAACGTTACAAATCATCACGCGGGTTTCTGAGAATCAGTCACTGGAAGGTTTCAAGTCGTCTGGCTCTTACATACACTTATATATGATTCGATCACGTTTTAATCGGCGGTTTTCAATAATAAAGATAATAGTATAAAGTAATTTCTGCTTTGTATTCAAGTAGGTCAGTATAAAATAGGACATCTTGATTATATATTTATGCAACCTAGTATAGCACTTTACATTCATTCATTGATTATAAAAGAATTGGAATGATGTCATAGCTTAGAAATCGGAGTTCGTGATATTTATATTTTTCCTGTTTTATGGATTACGATGAATGACTAACATGCGAATTTTCCAAAAGACGATTACACGTATCTCTTATTTCTTTGGCCTAACTATAGCACGGTGGTTTAGTATACCGGAGTTATCTTTAAATCTTAGCGTCACTTTCGCATTGAATTTTGGAATGATTGATTTGTCTGAGACAAATTTTCCTGTCATGGTATTTTCAAACATCACGTCTTATAGTGAAATCAAGTTAGTTAACTATTACCCTTCAGGGCGTTCATATAAACCTAAAACGGATTTCCAAAACCAAAATATTCTTCTGGTTAAAGCCCGCAAATTTAACAAAGCTCTCAATGAAACGTACATAATGATGTGGTTGTACATATCGTTTGAATTGTTTTGAACAAAGTGAATATCCAACTTACCTTGCAAATTATATAGAAGGCAAAATGAAAAAATAAAATCGCGGGAATTGAGGCTGTTAACCTTGAATACGTCTGTATTTTTGCGTCACTATACCAAAATCAACAAAATAGAATTTTTTTTCACGCTGGCAGCTAAAGGGATTTCATACTATAATATATAAACAGTTTTTACATAGCTTACTAGCAAGCACCGTAAATGACGGCTATGATGATAGCAGTGCTGCACAATATTCTTGTTATATGCAAATGGTACCCATCAGTGGACCAGAAGAAATTGAGATCAAACAGGAAAATAGGAGGCCCAATCAGGCCCCCCTTGAAATGCTTCCAGGTAGACCGATATAGTAAAATTGTCAACGATAACAAACGGCAGTAAATTTCATTAATGCAGTTTTGAAAGTTCATCACTTTAACTACCTATTTGTCTGACTAAACTTGAGCTTAGCAACTGATTTTCTTTCACCAAGAAGGAAAATGATCGATCCAGTTCTAGCACTACCGTAACTCTGTAACTGGAAAGAAAACTGGCTTTCGTGTAAAAGCGTTATTGCGTCAGTACCGTTATCTTGCTACCACTTCCGCTACATTTGAACAATCACGGCGTCCTCTGTTCGATGTCAAGTCAACAGATAATGTTCTTAGAAATGCTGTTGCTCTATTATAGTATAATCTACGAATGACACAAGATCTACAACTGTGTTGATAAAAAGATTTATGATGGAAGCTATTGAAAACTTTACCCCTCGGGCTATGATGAATGATATGAGTCGCAATTTCTGAAAATCACGTTATCTTACGACTTAACCACTGGTGTTGTTCTTAACTCTCGCAGGTTAATGTTTTATTGATAAGCACTTGCTAGCAATTTATATGCACAGTTTTCCAAACAAGAATAAAGTTACATCTTTTGTGACTTGATTATGTATTATGCAGCGTACTTATATACACCTTATTTACAGACTTGCGTCGCTTCATCGTATTGCATTCGGAAATACATGTCTTTATATAAACCCGCACTGGCAAGCCGACAAATAAACCCAAGGAATGCGCGGGTTCAGTAACCTACAAACTATTCATTGGATATTGCTTCAACAAAATCGACATAGCATGTTTAAACATGAACCAACTATATATATTACCACACTACGAGCCATAATGTCTCAGTCGGGTTCATTCCATAATAAATTCCAAGACTGCACTACACACAACCGCGAAACACTGCCACAAATAGTTTCCATATCATTTTATACGGAGCATATATGAAGCGAGCAAGGTGTTCTTGCTAGATGCACGATAGAGTTTTTCTCTATTTGCATATCATTTATATATTGAGAATCAGAAACCTTTTTGGCGATGATTGTTCAGTACGAACAGAAATCATTCGAGAGGCAAAATCGACGTTTTGTACAATGTTTTAAAATCCTACAATTACAGTGATTTGAGTTGGAAACTCCTTGCATTTAGTTATTACAGTCAATTTCTTTATACTGATTATATCAAAGTAATCGATTCAGGTTACTGTCACTTGCCATTTTGTTATGCGGAAATTTTTCTCGGACACTCCAACAACTCTCCCGCCCATTGTCTTCACTTCCTCATAGCGGCAATTCATGTGAATTCAATTCAAATCCAATGCACTGAATACGTCATGCAACAGCATGAAATACTATAACTAGATAAAAAAAAATATGCGTATGCGAATATATGTTGTTGAAACGCAGTTGGGCCATCTCTACCTTCTGTTTGGGTAACGTAAGTTTCAACATATTATTTTAGCCATGTGTAAACAGTGGTTTGGCAATGGCTGCGCATTCGTGAAATATATTTGGGGGAAATAGTAACGACAGACTCGATTTTAACTGGTTTCCAATATAAGCACTTTCATTCAACAGCTTCTACGTAGTCAATTTTGACAATAATAACATATTCATATTTTTAGTCAACTTCACTATTACAGGCATCCATACATGATATGCACATAGGACCAGAAGTGCAAAAACACGGAAAAAGGATCTGATCGGCAGCACTCTGTATTCTGCTAGTAGTAACAAAATCAGTTCTGGGACAAATTCAAGTATTTCAAGTATTATTGAAACATTGGTACCGAGAATTCGATTCTGACAAAAGAAATAACGACACCAATAAATCCAATCTAAATCTGAAAACGTCGACAAACATATTTCACAACGTATATTCAACTTCACTTTAAGTCTACTTCCGTTCTTAGCCCTTCACTTCAATTACTATTACAAATACTAATATCATACAAATACCAAAAATGTCGGAAATGAGAAAATGTCTCAGATTTAAATAATACCCCGAAGTGTGCAAAATTCCTCCTCGGTTAATGACGGGAAAATAATACGATCATATATAGCCTACAACAGTTTAAAAGACTTGAACGACCGTCTAAATAACTAGTCAGCGTTGATGTCAGCAGCGAATGACACTGACCAAAAGCTAAGAAGATGCACCTATCATGCTCTATCTATATTTCGTCATTTATATTCAATTTTAATTAACCAAAGTTTCTTTCTTCGTTTTCACTATATTTACTTCACTATATTTACTTATGCCAGAGAAAAATATTGAGAAAATGCTGTAGCTGTTTTAGAATGCCATCAGTTTGGCGGATGAATTTTGTTCAAAAATCAATATTGCTAAATTTGGCACGCGATGGCTGCAGCAAATTTTTAAGTAAATAAACAAATATTTCATATTCGTTTATGATTACGTTGGGATAAATAAAATCGAAATATAAACCGAGTTTTTAAAGGACAACTTTATGCCATAAATTGTCTGTTATTTTCAATCTGTAGGTGACATCCAGCCCCGGCCAAAGATATATAAATACATAAAAAATTCTACAATGCCCCAATCGATCGGCGACTTTCGTGCTTGCTCAAAATCTCGTCTTGAAAGCCATTTTCTTAACAGATCGATTGCTTCCAATTTCTATGTTTGCTCGTTTTTGTGCCATGTTTAACGTAGAAATTTATGAATCTACTAAGTTCATAAAGGGATATTGAAAAGAACTTTACTCGACACTTTGGTAAAATTAAATTTGAATTTATAATATCGGAAGCAAAATTACTTCACATATAATTGCTCATATATATCCTGCTTTATTTGAAACACTTGCCTTATGACTGCTTTAAATCCATTGGCACTTTTTAACTATCATGCTGACCATAAGCAGTTATCGATGTAAGCTTCATTGGCTATATAAAAGCACTTTGATAGGGCCGCTGTTATGATAACGCCGCACTTTTTCATTGTAGGCTTACCACATGAAAGGCAATTGACCAAAATATAGCGATCGTGTCGCTAAATCTGGCCTCTCGGGAATTGAGTGATATTTTAAGGGACGCCACGATTGTGGCAGAAGAGATACCGAGAAACTGACATGATCCGAACATACCAGTCGTGAAACGATGATACCGCATTATATATAATTCAGTCGAGAGACTTCCGGTATCCTAAAGAGCGAATAAGACTGCCGTTATCTGCATTAAACACCGCGGCGTACATAGTGAGTGAAAGGAATACACTTCTGGAATTTGATAGACAACTATCATAATATAATATCGAACGAGAAAAACTTGGCATCTATACGAAAATCAATATGGTGAAAAAATATTCGTAATTGGTAATGGCAAAATTTTTTCATTTGAATATCAATATATTAATGGAAACATTTTGTTTCTAAAACGACTATTTCTGGAAGCGCGAATTGTTAAAACATAATCATCTCCATGTGTTTTGGTTATTTAATATTTCATGATACCGACCTGTAATGTTTTGAAATGACACATAAATTATTTTGACCTATGAAACTGCACTATATTCTAAAAAGCGACGCAGGGGCTTTTCAAGGATAGTTAAGGATACTAAGGATAGTTTTTGTTGATTTCTTGTTGCTGATGATAAAATCCATCAATTTTAAATTTCTGAGCTTAAGGATGAATGAGGTCGCCGTGAATGTATTGCCTTTTTTCCAAATCCCTGTTTTTATTTCAAGTCAAAAGGAGAACCATTTTTCATCCTATCTGTCACACTTGTCGCAAAATCAGCTGATGTGAATTCCTACGATTGTTGAATGACGAATCGCTGCTAATTGACGAAAACTATTTTAAAACAACGCGACTTGATTTAGAATTGCTATGGTGGTGAGAGTTGATTAACAATTTTGGTTTCAAGTTTTGGAATGATCATATAACGAATTTTAGTGTACGTCGCGGTGACAGTACGGGACTGCGGTTAGTCATTGGACCTTTGTGTTTATATTTGTGCAGTGCTTTGTATCAGACCATGCCAGGGCACGATGCTATCGTTACAAGAACATAAATAAGCACAAGCATGTACCGTGTTTCCCCGAAAATATGACTGGGTCCTATTTCAATTTTATTTTGAAAAATAACACTAGGGCTTATTTTCGGGGATGTCTTTTATTTTCGTTTATCAAAACAAAATTACAAAGTAGAGAATTACGAGATTTTTAAATATGAAAACCTATATTCATATACTTATAAATAACACGTTTTCCTCTCTCATACGTTCGGGGTTAATCATTTAAAACGTGTAGGAAAGACTTCTTGCTATCGACTGGGTCAAATTTCACGCTAATGACTAGGTCTTTATTTTAAGGGGAGGGCTTAAATTGGAATCATTTTTAAAATTCAGGCTAGGTCTTATTTTCGGGGAAACACGTTATAACTAAAATTAGAAGTCTGCTCAAAAAAAAAAGATAGATAAATAAATATTTTAAATGATGAGAGTAAAAATTTAAAATTATATTATTGAATTGGTTTCTACGGGAATAACTACTTATCCCTCTTCTATGCTTTTGTGTCGTGGATCGTTTTGCATATAATGCAAGGATTCTGAGCAAGAGTGAGGATAACTATTATAAGTGATTTGAATTGTTGCACATTAACACAAATATTTTTCTGTGACGTTTCGTCTGACCAATGTCAACTGAGTTGAATAATGTATGTCGGAGGAAGTCTTACTTGATCACATGCAACGAAAATATATTTGTGTTGGTGTGCAGCGAGAAAAATTTAGTATATTATTGAATGTGTAATGTAATTGGGCAAATTAAGATAACACGCATAATTCGTAAACACCCACCAACTAGGGGTCGGACAGAGATAGCAACTTGGACACTTCAGCTGGAATATGCCTGGAAGTAATCTTCTCCTGTCCTCGCCACACAAAAACTAAAAACTGATTTGATTCATTTTATTACAAATAGAGAAATGAAATAACATGTTAAAAGTTGTGTACTATCATTATTGCTAGCATTTCATGCCGGTAAACCGTAAATAGAACACGATGTTTTCTTTTGATAGCACTTAACGATAATAATAGCTGTCGGGACAAAAATCCATTGAAAATTTATCGTGTACCATGAACGTTTATTATTAATTCACTATTATAGTAAACTGACTGAATGAATTTACAGTCATCTGTTCCATTCATCCGTTCAAAAATATAGTTCCAAATTAAACATATACATAAAAACAGCAGTTTGATTTCATACAAAAATACAGTGAACCATGAAAAGGTTCATTATGACACCATAAACAAGTTAAAAGCAGCATAAAAAAAAATACCATAAAACAAGGAAAAATTGAATATACATACAAGTTAATCTTCATAGTAAATATATGATGATGAAACTTGTGTTAGTTTTAAATTTAACCGCCAGATAAAACTCAATTAAGGAAAACAATCAATGAAGAAACGAGACAATGCATCTATAAACCATCAATAATGGAACGTTAACAAGTATAACATTGTTAAGTTGCAAGTTATACCTTTTGAGATCGAGTGAGTTCTATACAACAAACTATTTCACTCTTCTCATACCAGTGCACGTGACCTCAGTTAAAAGAATCCTTTAAAATAGAATTCATTATTTATTAATTTCAGAGAAATGCAGTTATCAGATGGTAGCAGCAATTCTTCACATACTGCGAAATTTTTCACTGCTAGTGTAAACAATTCAAATATATGTTTTTTAATTTAGGGACAAATATACAAAAAAATTATGTACAATTTGCTTATAGCAACAAATAATTACCATATTATCTCGTGAAATACAAATCATCCCTAAAATGCATTTTAATTTGGTTAAGATTAAGAATGAAGCCAAATATCTGACCAAGTTGGCAATATTTCATTGATACTTGTATTCTGTGAAATGATTTTTTTTACAAAAAGGTTTGATTAAAAATCATTTTGAACCTGCATAGTGAGATTTTCAAATTTATCTAGAGGAAAGGAAAGTCCATGAGAAGACTCGATCTAATACCAGATTTCGTGATTTATGATGTTCGGAACTCGGAATCCCATGAAAGAAAGCATTGGCAGTCGAGCATGAAACTAACAGATGCTTTTCCCTATACATATAGGTCCCTATAGACCAAGCCGAATGTGATTGAAAACAGTAAGAGTAAGATTCATTTATTCTTTCAAAAAATCATTTCTTTTTTCGGGTTGCTGCATCTTTATCTGAGGAGCTTTTACGAATTCTTTGAGATCTTCGTACAGAATTAGATCGTATAGTAGGCAACATAGCTGGTTCTGATTTTTTGATATTTTTAGGATGAAGTTTTTCAGTAACATTTGTTTTCTTTTCGTTGTTTTTCTTACCTACAAATGGCGGACCTGTCACTGTGGAACGAGTCTTTCGTATAAATTTTTTACCCCCATTTTTTGTCAGATCCTCAGGCAGAATATCTTGTTTATTATTGTTGTCATCGATCTCCATTGCTGTATCCTCATTTGGTGGGCATTTCTGTGTGACATCATCATCCGATTTTGTAGTAATACCAAAAGCATCGGTATCTGGAATTGATTCAAACTCAATTTCATCTTTCGTCATTCTGGTGAAAATATTGTCATCTGAATTTTTCGATAAAACTTTTGTATTTTTGTTTTCTTCAACAAAAGCTCCACTATTTTCAGTTCCAATGATCTTTTTATCCAACTGTGCAGCATTATCATTCTCAGCTTCAGAAGTTTCATTAACAGGAAGATATTTATTATCGGCAGCAACTTTATTAGAATTAATTTCATTTTTAATTGCAACTTGTTTTACATCATATGATTGTCCATGATCGTCACGCATGTCATCAATTTTTTGCTCAGGTTCAGATTGTTGTTCATCATCACTTAGATCTCTGCCTTCAACAGTTTCGAGTGTTGATTTCAGCTTCAATTTATATCTTTTCGAAGGCATCATTGCGACACCTCTGTGAAGATTTTTTTCTTTTGTAATTTCCTCATTTGAGTTGTCCAAAATATCACTTTGAGAATCAATTTTTTCAGTATCTTCATCAATATCACTCTGTACCTCAGCTGGATCCAAAACGGCTGACAACGCACTTTCAACATGTTGATTTGTTAAAATGCTGTAACCATCATGATTGGGTAATTGATTGATGCAAACGATTGGCTCCAATTCTGAAGTTTTTTCTACAATTGATGTATCTTTTTTATCACCCTCTCCCTTGGATTTCAAAGACTTTTCAGAGATTTGTGTATTTTTGAGCGAAGTGTCCTCATCTTCATTCTATTTTAAAGTGGTATAAAATAAATTTTTACATCAAATCATCAAAGAAAATATATAATTTATTTAAGAAAAAGACAATTATTACCTTAATGGTAGGTTCTTTATTCTGATCATCTTTCAAATCAGTTTCTGAAGTTTTTTCTGAATAAAATATAACGGTTTGTTATTCTTGCAACTAATAAATAACAATTTCCATTAGGACATTGTTTTCACTAAGGTCTTTAGTTTTACAACACGAAGGCAAATGTTCTCAAATCATAAACAAAATAAAACCTTTGTTAAATATGAAACATGTTTAAAAAATTTATTTGAGTAAATTATTTTGCTACCTTTCTCTGGAAGTTTTGTTTCAATTTTAATGTCTAGTTCAATTGTTTTTGCTTCTTCATCTTTTTCAATAGATGTATTTTCAATTTCCTGTAATAAAAAACGTAACAGGAATAAAAAAAACATGCATTACCATCTATTCTGAACCATAACTCAGCACTAAATCACCAAGACAGGTCTCGGAATTAAGCTGATGTACCAACCCTGTCATTTCTTCTTCAAAAGAAATACCTTACCTTTGCTACAATTAAATATAATAAGTGGTGATCAGTAATTTATTTTTCCACCAATGCTGAAAATATGTAACTTACCTACTTATACATGTAGAACAAAATAAGAATAACATTTACAGAGTGGGGGAAATGCCAAAAAAACAGTACTGGTTATCTGGCAGCGACACCCTAGAAGGGTCACACAGCATGAAAAAAATGAAATAAAAATAGAAAGCTTAAATTAAATATGAATATAGAAACAAAATATCACACTACTATATTAGAAACGTTTAAGTATCCGAAGGATGTCTGGTACCAAAGCCAATATTTCATTACACATCCTATAAGCTTTGCTTTATTTTTATTACCACAACCCAAAACTCAAATAACCCTTCAGTAAGAACTAAATTATATTATTAATTAGATTATGCTTTTCCATTAAAACAGCCGACAAATGTATCACTTTTAAAAATCCTGGCTTGTTTTCGTTTTACAATTATCCACTCTGCGCAATACCTGCTTTGAACACATTATAGCAACATACCGGTTTTTGCAGTGAAGCATCTTCACTAGTAGATTGTTTTGGATGTTCAAGATTTCTTTTAGCACCAATAGCTTGCTGATCTTGTTTTACTAAGGTCCAGTATTTCTTGTGCTAAAAAAATAAAAGTACTTAGCTAATGTGAAATGAATAAAATAATACATTGAATGCAATATTGTGGAGTTAGTTCAAAGATTGAAAAGATGGGATTAACATTCGAAATATATTGAAAACTGCTGTCCTCTCATACCAACAGTAATTTACTACATTTTGCATATTTATATCTACTGAAGCATGCACAAAAAGTTGAGTTTACATTATCGAATTTTACGGAGCACAATGCGCACTGGGTTATAGGGAACACTATCAATAAACTGCTTAGATTTGGGTTTTGTCCACATAAGGCGCACTGGGCTATAAGACACAACGGATTTTAACGAGTATCGGGGTATCGTACAAAGCTCATTGAACAATGAATAAAGCATGAAGAACTGCCTGATCTATACATTAGGCGCACCGGCTCAAAAGACGCTTTGTTTTTTTGATTCAAAATACTGTATATAGATTACTTTCAGTCTAGTCAAGTCTGTGAAAAAGTGTATTAATACTGATTTAAGTGTTCTGCTGATAACAAAAAACTATCTATTTGCAGATTCCAGTTCTGTGACAGTGACAGTTCTGTTGTATGGCACGCACGTTCAGTTATACCACATATACTAAAACCAGCTTGAAGGCTCAGAAATAAAGATAAAACCACCCTGCTCCAGTCATTCATATGCAAAGTCGAGACTCACCTCTGATCCTGGTGATTTTATAACTCGTAATTTCAATTTCTTGATAACTTTTTTAGAATCCGCATTGTCAGTTAAATCTTCAATCTGTGGGGACTCACTGCTGTTTGATCGCTTCAAAGCTTTTGTCTTATGCGATGAAAAGTCTAAAAAATATCATCTTGATTAATGGTTTATAAGTTTTTTATTGTTTATTTGCACATTGTCGCATTATTATTTTATATTCCATTGAAAAAAAAGCCATAATTAAGATAAACTATATGGTGCTTGCATTTGAATCAGAAAACATTTCATTGAGTATCAACCATTTGCATTCTCGCCAAAAGGACAATATAGGATATTCAATTCATATTTATCCCAAGAAAGAGGAAAGACAAAATAATGGCCTAATCATATGGCGAACCACTGTATTTTGTTCATGTAGAGGGGAAACTGCATTTAAGAAAAGTTCACATGAATGCACACCTTTTCTATGTCCTGGGCGATGAGTATGAGTGTGTCTCCTGTGTGATATTTTTGTTGAATTTGTTTTTAGTTCACTCGATAAATATTCAGGACATGAAGTTGAACTTGGTGAATCAGAAAGATTTTGTGATGAATATTCTGAACAAAAAAATATGGAAAATGAAATAAATTGAATTAATTTTTTTTTGATGGTTTGAAATTATCTTCAAGTTCAACATAACCTATCCAATTTGACATATACATACTGGTACAAGATTTAAAACTCATAATTGTGTGTTTGCAAGCTGTGATTTCAGTTCTGTACATTGTGAACAGTAAAAATTGCAAGGAAAAATCTATAACTATTAGTGAAGTTTATGCGGGACTAACCCCCAATGATTTTGTGACGAGACGATCCGTATGTGTATAATGAAAGAATGCTGTAGCGGGAATAAACATAACCATACTATGCAATTCGAGACTGTGTCCTGCGGCACGCTAACACAATTGTATTTCTGTAACGCTTCGTCTAACCAAAATCAGACTTCCTCAGACAAGCAGTTTACAACAATTGAGGAAGTCTGATTTCGGTCAGACAAAACGTGCAGCAGGACTATTGAATTACATAGACAAATATCTGGATCGTCATTTATGAAGTGAAGATTTGGCAAAGTCAAATGTACTTTACTCGTATTAAGCAGTTGAGATGAGCTAGTGGCAGGATTAGGTAAACATAGAATGAAACAAGAAATATGCAGAATATACACTGAGCAAGATAATTAAATTCTGACCTGTTAGGCACAGACTTCCCTTCATTTCATCAATTTTCTCTGATGATGTGACGTTCTTCTGATCTTTATTATCTGCATTCATTAATTGTGTCGATGAATCCTAGTCAAATAATAACTTCACAGTTAAAAGTATATTTCGAATTTCATGGGTAATACAACAGTAATATCATAGCAATAGTATTTATCCTTGTAAATAGTTCATTTAACCCATTACTGGCCAGAGTATGACCTTTGATTAACTGTTTACTACATATATCAATCATGCCAAAACATTACATGAATATAAAATAATTGTGGCAATAAATCTCCCTCTCTCACTAATAAGATAAGAAGTTTCTGACTACATACTCTGAAGCACACGTACCTCAGATTCTAAAACCTCTTTTCCATTCAGGCTTTCAGTGGATACATCTTTATCAATTTCAGACACAGTTTCACTTTCTTTGATAATTTCTTTATCAAATGAAGTTTTAGAACTTTCTGATGAATCTTCTTGAGTATAATCCAAATCAGGAGTCATTGTGAGATTCTGTCTTGCATAACTCACAGGCTGATTGTCATCAACCTCTTCAGGTATATCTGAAAAATAGATATCTAATCTTGACAAAGAATACTTAAAAATAAACAAATGTGAGTGCCGGTAATGAGATAATTGAAGGATACGAAAATTTAAAAAACTAACTCACGAAACAACGAGTAAAATACTCACACACCCACACTTTTAAACTCAATGTTATTACAATGATTTTAGATGTTTATCGAAATATTCAACCCGGCGCACCGTACTAAGAGTTAGGAACATGTTTGACATAGCATCTCTGATTACCCTGCATGGATTTGCGGGTTTGAATCCTGTAGAAGATAATTATGTGTGAAAGGATTGCTGAACTCCTCACTGACATAGGGTAGGTAGTTCATGTGACCGTTTACGGCTTCTTCCACCATCAAGTCCATGCATCTGAAATAAATAACTGGCTAACTAATCCCATACCTGACATGGACTGGTAACCAGACGATAGGCCGTGGTTTGCCATATCATTCAGAAATCTTATCGAATGTTTCCTCTCCCATGGGATAAACATGTAAATCCTATACTATGATGAATATGATTCATTACCCAATAAATTGACTTAGGTTATAGGAACAATACATCTTGTGTATCACAAATACTATACAATTTTATTTACCTTTGTTAGATATTTCTTCTGGATCTGTTGGTGTAATTTTCTTTTCACTACTTGAATGTTTCACAGTTTTTTCATCAGAAAATAATGGAGGTGGAGGTCCAATTGGTGAATCTATGTCATATAGTATACATTTATACATAAATATCAAAAAGAAAATATAAAGAACTACTACCATGGTCAGTTCAAAGCTTTAGAAAGTATGAAATAAATAGCTAGCTTCATTATATCATGATACTATGTCATTGCTTCATCCTATAATAAGATATATTTGACAACTCAAATCTGTTAAGTGGTAATTCAAAAACGCATTTATTTTTAAAGCTAGATTCAGGACACAAATTTGCATCTTTCTAAAACATTCACAACATGTCATGTTCATAATTATGCTTATACAATGAAATCCAATCCAATGATCAAGAGGCTGTGGTTAGCTGTTTTATCGACTGCATTATCGAGTTTCCTTGCTGCCGACATAAATATAAAAATTTATTGCAGTGTAACAAATGTTATGATGAGCTCAGAAAACAATGGTAATCAAACTTGTAGAAAATTGCAGTTTTAAACAAAGGTAATTAGGAAAAAATTACCCTTTTTCTGATTTGGGAATGCTGGCACTATGCTTGTTTTCTTTTCAGAATGAGCAGTTTCCAGAATATGAGCTGAAACTCTTGGTGGACGAGGTGGACATGCCAGAAGTTTATCTTTTTTATCTTGAACACTCGTTGATGCTGATTTGATAATTTCCTCATTTTTGTGTGTAAGGATAGGGACCGATGATCTGAACACTGGCGTTGGGTCTGGGAGAACCATTTCTCTACTTTCCGTACCATCTGTTCTATCAAATTCACCTAAAGTTTCAACTTTCAATGCTTGTTGCGCTTTTCGAATACATCGATCCATCATATCTTGATCACAAAATGAATTAGGATTTTGTGTGGGTGCTGATTTCATTTTATATTGCATCGGGGGCTGCTTATGTACAGGTTTCGCTATAGCTGGTCTACTTTCTTCGATATGTGGTTTGTTGTGGGTACGTATTTCACGTGGTTTGTTGTGGAATGGAAACCCTGGTTTTCGCATAAACTCTGCGCTTTGGCGCCGAGGCAATGGCATTGAAGGCACATCGCACATAGAACATGGGGGCCCATGGTGATAATTCATGTGGTGTTTATGTGATGGATGGTCATTCATATGTTGCATCAGCATTTCTTGTTTTGGTACACACCAACCAGGAGGCGGATTTGGTAATGGACGTCTTTGTGATATCATACTTGGAATTGGCCTTCGATGTTCAGGTGGTATTGGTATAGTGGGTGGGAGATGTCCAGGCATACGAGGATGGTCTCTGAAAGGCTTCAATGGAGGTGGAGGCATATTTTTTCTCATTTCACCCATTGTGTATCCTTTACCTGCAGAATGTACTGGTGGTGGTTTAAAATTGACAGGGTGAAATTTGAATGGCTTTTTGGTCTGAGGGGAAAGACTTTTTCCATGTATAATAGCTCGACGATGCTCAAGCATTTGATGTTGGGAAATGTGACTAGGACTGTTGTCAGGCCAATTTGAATTTCCAGGCATATTGTCAGGGTGGTATTGGCGGTGCATGTAGTCAGGGCTTGGAATTGGAAGGTTTGTTTTATTATGAGAAAATCTTTCCTCATTTACATCAATTCTTCTTTCCATTTTTATTCTCATATGATCTTGATTGGTACTATTTGCCGTCGATTGGGGTGGCATCGTTCTATTTTCAGTTGATTTTCGACTAAAGTCTAGGACTCCGTCGTCTGTCACTACATAATCTGGAACAACTTTTTTACTTTGTACTCTTAGATCGAGCGGTGAATTTTCATCATCACCGATGTCTATTCCAGGTTTAGGAGACATTTTATTATTAGCATGGGCGCTAAGTAACTTTCTTTCTGAAAGATTAGTTGGCTGCTGATAAGGAACATAAGGCGGACTTCTTACATTTGCCATTGGATCTCTATGGGAAAAATATGCAGAAGCTGGTAAGTGCTCATTGATCCTTTTAGTTGGATTGTGTCGCATATGATATCTGAGATTTTTATTCATCTCATTTGATTTGCGAGATGGCATATTTTTATCCAATATTGCATTTTTCGGAATATCATGTCTTCTTGAGCTCCAGCACTGAGAAAGGAAAGCCTGGATACGTGATGATTCTGCTGGATTTGAGGATCCCGGGCTTGAAGGACCTTGGTGGCGATGTGTATGATGCAATGGAAATGGTTGAGAAGTGAGAGGTGCAAAACTTTTTGATATATCCGGACATTCAGCCATTCTTCTATCTCTAATCATAGACTGTTTTTCGTAAATATCTCTGCGCATTTTCTGCTGCTGCTGCGAAAGAATGCTTCTTTCTCTATCAGAAAATCTGCCTATAACGTCATTTGGAAGTATTTTCCTCAAGTTTGGTGGACGAATTTTATTATCATTGTTGTGAAACACATGATGATAAGGACCCTTCTCATCTTTTCTCAGATTAGGAATTGGAATTTTATGCTGTTCTGTTACGTGATGTCTTTGATGAAATTGTCTCGCAATTTCTCTGTCTTTTTGAAGTTTCACCATTTTTTCATTTTCGATACAACTTTGTAATTTATTGTTATAAGATGCCTGCGTTCGTACATGTTGAACGTTGTTAGGTTTCCGTCTTTTTCGTTTTGGTGACATTTCTTCAGTATTATCAGAAGAGAAGTAATCTTTAAACATTTGTGTTTCCATCTGCTCAAGTTTTATCATTGGTTGAAGATCAGGTGGACTAGTTGAACGCTGTTCTCCTTTCATATTGCCTTTTTCCATTTGGCCTGGTTGTTCAGCACTGAAACAATGTAAAACATGATTTTTAAATTGGCAATGAAGGCAACAATAATAAGATGGATGAAAAATCTAAAAATGCATATTACTCACATTCTAGTGCCAACTACGGTAACTTATTTACAATTATGCAGCAAATTTAGAAAATTATAAAATAGAAAAAATAAAGAAGTGACCCAATATTGGAAAAGAATAAGGTCACTGAGGAAAATTTTATTTATCATAAACAAATACTAATCTAAGTTATCATAATTTCAGTTGCGGCGTCATGATCAGCTTATTTTTTGTCTAAGTTATCTTAATACTTACAGAACTAACTTTGAAACTGCCACCTAACTTTTGAATAACTTAGTTTCATTTTTGACTATACTTTTGCGTTTTTGCCATATTCATAAAATTGTAACAATTGTAACAAATTCCAAATGAATTCTGAGAAAAAATGAAGGTATATATATACATACATTATACATACATAAATCTTAAAATCATCTATCAAAATTACCTTCTTTTGCTAGCTAATCGTTGAACAATGCTACTGAGTTTTGAAAGTCCCTTCGTTCGCTTTGAAACACTTTCACTTGTTGAAGCTGCTTTAGTAATAGCTATTTGATTCTTCTGCTTTTCCTGAGTGCTGGTAGCATCAGGAAATACTCCTTCATTGTTAGCTTGGGTATAAGCAACGTCTGAAAAAAATGAATTATAATCAGATAGTCATATTACAAGTACATATTACATACTACTTCAATGAATTGAACAAATCAATCAAGTTCAAGTTCCTAAACAGGATATAGTCTCGCATGTGTCAAATTGATCACATTACAGCATACTCAAATTCAGTAATCTGATAAACTATAATATTGTAATGTTTAGTTGGTATTTCTGAATTCCAAATTAATGCTAATCGGTTTTCTAGTCTAGAACATTATATACCGGTAATGTGTTTGTGAAAATGAGCAAAATTTTCATGAAAATAAAAAAAATCAATATGCAGTAAATCGAAGAAATTTACGCCTTCTATGATATCGTATTTATATAAGTTATACATAAGTAACTCCTAATCTTCAAACTCAAGGCAGAAATTCAATATTCTTAGGCGTAGGAAGTAATAACTTATCATCGATTGATTGATTGAAAGTTACAAAAAACTCTTTTATATTCACGCTGTTCACTCCAAACAGTGCCCTGTACAAGCAGCCACTAATATCTAACAATATATTGTAAGGAGCTAGGTGATGGATTGGAATTTGCAAAGCCTCAACCAATAGGCACGTATGCCCAATACACAGCTTGGAAATTTTTATTTCATCCTGATTCGATGCTGTTAATCTTACACAGTGTAATCAGCAGTGTGAACACGAATATATTCTTGAAGTCTTGCTAATATCATAGGATTAGGATAAGATTTTACATATTTATACTGAGGAGAGGAAAGTTGATAAGGTGGCTTAATCACATGGCGAACATCGGCCTCTCATCTGATTGTCAGTTCATGTCGCGTATGGCATTAATTAGCCAGGTAATATTTTGTGTTCAGATGCATGGACTTCATGGTGGAGGAGGCCGTAACCGACCAGCTGTTATGTGAACCTCCCTACAACGACGAAGAGTCCAGCAATCCTCTCACACATATTATCCCTCACAGGATTCGAACCTGCGAACCCATGCAGGTTAATCAGAGGTGCATTAGTAAGTGTATTCCTTGCGCCACACCGCCGAGATATACAGAATTCATTATAACATATCTGTTAGCATAAGGATGTTTGAAAGTGTTTATTTATTTGAATAGCATCCATGATATAATGCAGATAATATAACAGTGTATGAAGTTTTTAATTTAAAGAAATATCTTTTCATATTGAGCACATTTTAGTCCACAATTAGTAAATTAGCCTATATAAACTACAATTTATCCATTGCACAGCATGATAGAAGTTGTCATTTTTCATTACATCAAATATTACTTTTGGATTGTATAGAATTGTACTTTTCTCAAACAGGTATACATACATTCAATAAAAGAAACATGGGCTTCTTCCACACACAATTCTTCGAAATTACTCTTTCAAGCTGGCATTCATCGATAACCACATTGATTTATGCAAGTTGTTCTCAATGTTTGCCTATGACATATGACATATATGGTGTTCCATCATGAAAACGATTGTATTCTTGGGTAAGAAAATGATAAAATACTGAAGTTTTTCCTACCTGTGATGTCTTCTCCAGATTTCACATTTGCTTGTTCTTTATTGGTCTCGAGAGATTGTTCCATTTGTACATTCGCAGATTTATTATCAGTTTCCATTTGTTGAAATTTTTGTGTTTGTTCGAAAACTAATCCAGCATTATCATTTTTGATCTTATATTTTTCAACAACCATACTAACAGGCTCTGCACACTGATACAGCTAGAAAAAAGAAATCACGATAATTGTTAGATAAATTTTGTGTTCGTCCCATACATTAAAATTTGAGAAGGAATCTGAATAAGCCCTCCATAATAAAGGGAAAATTGGCTGTATAAATTTGCATATAAAAGGAAAGTACTGTAAATTGTCAAATGCCAGTTCAATATTTTGCCAACATTGAATAAAATTAAAATCAGAAAAAAAGAAAGTGAGATTTTGCGAAGCATAACTGATATTAGAAATCTAGTTAGTTTTACCACATTGCTAAATACACACAGCAGAAAGGAAAGAATCGAACTCTTTGTAATCAGATGATTGATTGCTTACTGTCATTAAATCTACTGCAATATATTCTTACTTGCTAACATATGGATTAATTCTGTAAGGCTGTGTGACGATTATGTGTTTAGTTTAGATATTTGACCCGTTGGCAATGGTTCACTAATGGGTCTTACCCAGTTTTTAATTCAGTCACAGAGAAATGGTTATGTGATATCTAGCATGTCTCACTGATTTTAAGATTCAAAATCTTACAAATTGGTGGCTGAAGAAATGATGCTGATAACTAAGTGTTGTTTTGCATTTTCTGTTTCTCAATCTTTGTTAATATTAATTAATTCATTGTTTTCACTTTGCAAAAATAAAACCAAAATTTTTTGAGTTTATCTGTCACTCAAAATAGGTTGGAAAAAAGGCAGGATTTGCGTTTTAGAGAATATTACCAAATATTAGTTAATCATATTCATGTCTCTGTCTTGAACAAGGCATCTGTCTAACAGTTAACGGGACGAAAAGAACAAATAACGTTGAAAAACAAAAACAAGAATATTCCCCAAACTTTTAGCATAAATAAAGTTGATATGAGTTTATTACATAAACTAATAATGCACAAACTCTATTTGATGGCAACACTACGAGGTGATATATTTATGTGTCTTCCTAGAAGAATTCCTCTTATTTAAAAATTAGTATCTTGTTATAAATAGATAGCTGCTTTTGTAGATCCTTGTTCAGAGTAGAGAAACATAAGAATGTAATAAAACAGGGGTGTGCTACCTGTGACTCAAATGTGGCCCACAGGAAAAATTGTGCGGCACGCATAGAAGTTCCAATTTTAAATGGTGTGCGGCTCGCAAGACGAGTTTTTAATTTAGTTTAATCTAGTACGTCCGAGTAATTTCAATTCCTCTGCGTTACAAAGCCTATACCTGAGCTTGTGCAAACTGAACAACACATGTCAGAAGATCAATAACCAAAGTTTCACCTGCAACTACAAGAAAGCCTTCGTTAATAAATAAAGGTGCGGCCCGCAGTTTTACCAAGTTATTTGTATTTGGCTCTCCTGTATTAAAGGTTGCACACACCAACAATGAAACATTCAGAGCAAATACAAGTTAATACTAACCTGATTACGTTCATGTTTTAGCTTGTGATGTCTTCGTAAGTTTATATTAGTAGTGAACATTTTGGAGCAATCAGGACAGCGATGACATTTTTCTAGTCTTCCATCACTTCCTACTTTAAGAGTAGGTGGAAGTCCTATTAATCCTTTATTTGTCTGACTTCCAGCGGCATTCTGGTAGTTATTACTGTTATTTTCTTGCTGATCCTTCGAAGGATTAGGGAGCAGGGAAGTTCTAAAAAGCAAAAATTAATTGACTATCATATATATATGGGTGAAAAATGTTAATAAAGAAATTTTCCAAATTGATAAAAATGTTTAAAGTGGTTCATTTGCAACAATTTTGAAAGTGATAAAACAATAAATTTATGGACATGTTGGCAGATGCACATTTATAAAAAAACACTGTAAGACAGCTTGATATGTTAAGTATTATAGAGTCAATACAGAATGGATACGGGTATGTTGGATTGTTGATTAGTATGTCAAATGAAAGTTGGTAATATCTAACATTGTAAAGAGTTATTTCCTACAAATAATACAACAAACTTGAAATGTTTTTAGTTTTTAATAACTTCAAAAAGAGGAGTAATGTGATATGGAGAATACATCATATTCAAGAGACACAAGAATACCACAATCCAAAATACATGGTTTACAATTTACAATCACACATGGTTAAATACAACCAAAAGAATAGTAGAGAATATGAAATGATTGTGTGCGCAATTGACTGTAGACCTTTTAATATAAACATGATATGAATGTAACAAAACACTGCATGAAACATTATGTAATAAAAATAAAAAATATTACCTCACTGCACGTTTCTCTCCCATCAATGTTCCGCTGTCGTGCTGATCTAATTTCAAGTAAGCAGCGAAATCAATATTTTCTTGAAATTCATTGCTTCCATCTACACCATACAAATCACATTTTTCTTGTCCCTATAAAAAGAATCGTATGTTATATACTAAAGTATGTAGTCAAGAAATAAGGTTATGTAAATTAGCACACATGTTAATAGGTTTGTTGTGAAATAAATACGCCTGGAGAGCAAGCAGATTTTAAATTTTCAAAAATCCAATACAAATTACTTTGATAATTGAAGACATCGATTTGCAGAAAGTAAACATAATTTTGAAAATCTAAAATCGTAGAATGTGCAAATCCTAAAATAAATCTTCTGCTATTGTATTCACCATATCATAAATTAATCATCTAAAATATACTAGCACCAAAAGCGAAAAAGACAGATGCATATTTTATTATAACATATAAGAAATATTAGTTACATTTATGTCTATACATTTAAGCCTACGTTAAGAGCATTGGCCAGAGATAGACCGAGAGCCTGCAATTTAAGTTCCGTCTTAAAAAGAATGAATATGATGAATGCCTTCAAAATAAGTATATGAAGGCAATAGAAATATCACCCAAATTATTTAGTGACCAGAAACAATACATGCTTGAATTTTGCGAGGCATATGTCTATATACAGTGGCGTATCTCGGGTATGGCAGCCATAACTCGTGCCATGGGCGCGGTTTAAATGGGAACACAAAATGCAAAATTTTTTATCATAAAATGTTTCAAAAAAATAATTTTTAACTAGGAAATAATTGAAACTGGAATAATATTGTACAGGCATCTCAATTCAACAACAGTCGTTATGAATCATCAGTCAACAATCAAGGGGGCGCATTTTTAAACTTTGCCATGGGCAACATTTCATGTAGATACGCCACTGTACATATATTACATACCAAACAAAAGATATATATATGAATGCTTACCATGAAGCTTATTTTTGAAGATTTGCCATTGCTTCCTCTTTCTGCCTTTGTTTTAGTAACTTTCATTTTGTGAACAGATCGAAGATGCTTTACCATATCAGTTCTTTGGATAAAACCTTTGTTGCAAACCTATTATAATAAAGAAACATTAGGTAGAATTAAATCATCATCGGATACTGAGATGAATCAGCATATTGCCTTTGAAGGTTAATTATAACAAATGCCGGCATAAACGTAACAGGAAACAGGATGCAGTATTAGCCAAATTAGTGTTATGAAACAATATAAAAGCACGGGGATTTAGCAGATGTTATCACACATCTACAGTAAATATTGAGTATATTTTTGATAAATAAATATAGTCCATTTCCAAATTATAACTTGTAGCTATGAATACGAGCTGGACAAAAGCAAAAAAATGTGAGATTAGACAAATATATTTCGATGTTTCTCATACCTTACAAACGTGAGGTTTGTCACCAGTGTGTGTGCGTTCATGCCTCCTTGCATTTGTTGAAGTAGGAAACGTTTTGCTACAAAAGTTGCAAGCATATGGTTTCTCGCCAGAATGTGTACGTTTGTGTCTTTGAAGTTCGTGTCTTGTTGAGTATGATCTCTTACACAATTCACATTTAAAAACACTGACAGATGATCGTCGAGGTTCAGTGTTGTGACTTTCCTGTATAAATATCAAATGAAGAAAATCAATTCTGAGTTTAAAACAAAATTTTTCACTTTTTCAGTTCTATATTCTATCTGCAATTCTCATTTTTAGGGATATTGTCAAGTCTCGTATTTTCTTGCTCGTTGCAAGGCAAATTCTTTTTGATTGATTATAAACAAAATTATTATGATCAACATTTGATACTTCTAGTTTCAGACTATGACATTGCCAGGATATGTTTCAGGTAGGAGAATTATGCTGAAGATATTTCTTACTGCCACTTCAAAAAAGTCTCCAGACAAGCAATAATGAAGTGTGGGTTATTTGAAGATATAGAATCTTTTCAGTTCAGAATGCCCTATCTAATTTGATACACTCTGACAAAAACATGATATAACCCAGGGCTCTCCAAACCGGGGGTCATGAGCCCCAGTGGGTCGCAAAATGGCTCAATGGGGTCAATCTTATTCGATACTTACTAATGCTAAAACAAAATATTGATCGAATTTGAAATATTTGGAACCAGTACTGAGGCCCACCATCAACGAAATACAGCCAAGATTTGGTCTTTTGTGTGAGAATATGCAAGGACATCAGTCTCAGAAAAGTCCCTCTTGATAAAAAATTGGACCGTGTCAAGTGAGTATGAAAAAAGTTCCAACAACACTGATAAAACCAATGCTTTATGTTATGTATACACAAAGCAGAAAGATGAAGCCGACAACACAACCGTAACTACATACCAAACAATGAGTTCTCAGCTGATTTTTGTGTTGAAAATACATGAGTTCTTTGCAGCACATTTTACAAGCATACAAATATTTCGATTCCAAGTCGCCTTCCTCATTTGGTGCTTCTTCTTGATCTTTATTAGTCAACCCTATAAATAAATTATTGTGATTTTGCGGGACTTAAAACAGGCAATATAAGTATACAGAAGTGAAATTCAAAATGCTCTACCTCTGAGATGTATTATTTTCGATTGATACCTAAATGGTAATAATGTGTTTGATACGTGCTACTTCAATGTTTTATTTATGCTATCATTGATGAGACACCCAAAAGGTTTTGGAATAAGGCATCAAATAACCATTGAATAATCAGCAGATATTTTGCAGATATCTGATTTCTTTGAATGTGCATGGCATTCATTTATTCTGTTAAAATTACTTCCCATTTCAAACTTCCAAATAAGTCATATGATATATAGGATTGGTGAGCTCCAAATTGAAACGTCAGACTGACATTAACATAAAACACAAGATCAATAAATTACAATCAATAATATTGACAGCGTAAATGGTGCAATTTTGATGAAGTAAAACATATTTCAGTTTATATTTATATTTTCATATCCAGATAATGTAAACATTTGTGCTTAGTTTCAATAGGTATGTGCATATGCTTAATTATGGACATGTTTCAATAAAATGAACAATAGAAAACAATGGCTCTATTATAAGATAATAATTTCAAAACTTTACTTTTGCATGTCTAATAAATTACATGCACGTTACTCTGATATAACCTGTGTTATATATGGGCTATCTAATCCTAATCTGTTACCCTTTTTCCATTTTATGTTTGTGAAACGACTGGTATTTAAAACAACTGATCATACAATCCAAGTATAATGTAGGATTATTAAAATTATCAACAAACAGTATAGTTGAACAATACTCAACATTAAGGTTGTTTGTCACTTATAGCTTTTACAGTGCTCACGGCTTTTTCTTAACAAAACTTCAATGCAAATCAAAACAAAGATTGTAAATGATTGATAGTCGAGAGCTTCAATTCAAGGGTCAAAAATGGACAATGAAAGTTTTTTCTTACGTAATAAATACATGTGTATATAATTGCTAATATTGACAAAGATGTCTTATGTTAATTTAAATTAATGGGTAATTACATACCTGCTGTTTCAGTATCTGTCACATTTATGCTTCCCGCTTTAGGCAGAACATATTTTGGATTGATATGACGACGTGTATAATGACGTCGCAGACTGAATGACCTTGGGAACGACATCATGCAAATATCACATCTGAAACATAATCAAAGTACCAGTAAAATAAAACCATAAAAGAATATTTAAATTACTGTAATTCCCTTGGTGTCTGGACAGTAAAACATTTTGGAAATATATTTACTGCAATATTTGAATATATTATCAACTTATTCTGATGTCAATTTGAATAAATAATATTTTGAGTATGTAGTTGCAAATTTATTAGGTGTTATAGACAGAAATGATCAAATCCATATAAATGATTTTCTGGAAATTTATTTTCAAATCTGAATTTATTAAATAATCTAGATTGGCTTCTGATAAATAAAAAATATTGCTACTCTACAATTCATAAAGCCTTTCATGAGAAGCAGAAATCGTAAATCATGATTGTTTGGCTGGCATTGACTTTATCAATAATTGAGTGAAGCAGCTTTCAAATTAAGATATTCCCAGATCAAAAAAAATATGGAAAAAACAAATTTTAAATGTTTTTATGAATTTTTTTCTTTCATTCATGGAATTCCCAAACAGCTTATTATCTACCTATTTACATATTATCAAACTCAGAACAAAAGGTAAACAAAAGTTCAATTGATTACCAGTATTAAGGCATATTTTATACAGTATACTTCACGATGCCTATTATTTCAAATAGCATATCCTTCCTTATATGGGAAAGCAGTTAACCGCTTTAAATGATTCAGTCCATAGCAAAGTTATACTCAGTAAACGTTGATGAGCTATCATCAATAGTTAGCACCATGGCACAGTGACTGGCACTGGTCACAGACATCTTACAAAAGAAAATAATCTTCAGTTATCTGATCAATTCTGTTTATGTAAAAAATAACAAACCTGTAAGCGGATGGACCTCCAATGGCATTCTGTATAACATGATCTTTACGCATCTAAAAATCAATGTTATACAAACTCACAGCTATATAAGATGGTAAATATTTATAAAGTATGTTATCAGATAAACAGAAATATAAAACAGATAAGTACTGGCAATCTTACAAAACTGATGAAAGGACGACATAGTTCCTAGGGCCTGTACAATCACCAACTAAAGACTGTCAGATCACAAGAGTGAAAATGAAATATTGATGGCCTCGAATATAAATAGGCTCATGCTAAATTAATTCCCTTTCTCATGCTCCAAATACATATTGTAAAGCTAGATTGCTTTGCCCATATTAAAAATCGGAATGGAAGTTTTGACCACCGAGTACCTATCTCAGCGTAGATCTTGTTACTCTACCAGCTTCCAACATATCTTTTTCCCTTATGAGGTTAATTTACTTACATAATTCTTTTTAAAAACATTGGTGTGACCAACTACCATGCAACAATATTTAAAACTGTGTTTTCTTGAAAGTTTACATGATTAGCATTTGGTTTAGTATACTTATCAAAATAACAATAAGATAGCTTAAAAACTTCATCACTATTATTATTATGCAAATTTATATGAGCAACATATTACAGTAGTAGTTAACTATCTAACAACAATGTTATTTGTAGTACCTTGAACTTGAACATATTGTTGGCATCCAAAAGATCATCCTCTGTAAAAATACAAACCGAAAATATTGATGTTTGTTAACCACACAAATTTACACATTGACTAAAACCCATGGATATACAGATCATGTTGTTGCAAAATCGGACTGCAATTCAACAATTATTTCTGAGTGGATTATTTTGTTAAATGTCCAAATATTGACATCCCTATTCATACAACACAAAAAATAAATTTTAGGAAAAAATATTATTCATTGAAACTGATATTATACATGTAATCAACAACAAAACAATCAACACTGAAGCCAGGGTTAAAAAAATAAGCTGAACATTTGAATATCACCCGACGACATCTCGGCGGTGTGGTGCACCATGCTAAGTCTTAAGAATACGCTCGCCACCGCACCTTGACTACCCTGTGTACGTTCACAGTTTCCTGTGTACATAAATATGTGTGAGGATTGCTGGACACCTCGTCGGCCGCAAGTTGGCTACATTTATTAAAACAAAGCAATATTTTTGTAAAATAGAGCTTATCATACCACAATTTTGACTATCAAAACCATAAAATTCAGGTGTTCTCGAAAACGTTTGCACTGCTGCTGGAGTAGGCTCAGTTTCCGTCTTTGCAGGTTTTTCTTTCATAGATTCTGTCACTGTTGGAAGTTTTTTCAATTTTTCTTTATTTTTTGATGACTTTGAATGAAAAGCTCTGAATTCCTAAATAGTTGAAAATAAACAAATATTTGAAATCAATTTAAATCAAGACTAAATCACTAACTGATTTGGAAAGGATGTCCTAATATTTAGATGTTGATGTTTCAACATTTAAGTTTTCCATTAACAGTATGTTCTAGTAACCTTTGGGATTCTAAGATAAAAAGCAGTACAGAAGCTTGAAAACAAACTTGAAAAGTGGGAGTGAATAACGTTGATTACAAAACTGAGTGGAAATGCAGGATACATGCCAACCATAATTTTAAGACAATGCAAAGTTGTCCAAAAACTATTTCTGATATACATCATCATATTAGTTCATTAAATGCATGTATATTTGAAAGGATTAACGAGGAACCTCATAACTGGTTATAGAGCACATTTAAAATCTTTGTCTGTCTAATGGTTAACCAATACCCTCCAGCACATATGGGAAAATCATACCAATTGTTTCAAATCAATAAAATCAAACATCTACAAAATAATCTGTCTAACAACTATTGCATGCATTCTCGAAAACAAAAAATACCAGATGAAAGTAATTCACATTCATCCTAATTGGGAAGAACAGATAATTAAATAGCAAGTGATAAAAAATCGTGTTTATATATTATTACATGTAATTTAAACCATTTGTTATAACTGTATGATTAATCGAAAAACTCAATAAATATCTCGGAAATCCCTCTTTTAACCGCCAGCCTAGTATGAGTTTAAAAAATGAGATATGAAATTACCCTTGATGAACTGGAGAAATCTGTTTGTTTTTGTCTATTTTATTTGGTGAAAGGTTCTTTATCAAATCATCTCTTAACTTAATTGAATCAAAATACTATTATTTACCTCAGGATTTATCGTTCTATTTATATTCATCAATTTTGTTGGAATATCAAACATTGAATCATGATATCTTGAAGGTTTTCTTTTTCTTCTTCCTGGTTCAGTTGCAGTGGAAGGTGGAGAACTCTCATTATCACTCTGATATTTTGATTGAACATCTGAATTTTGACATTAAATTAGTTGACTGTCCAGTGACTGATTGAGACACCTACCGGTAATTGCAGATGTCAAACAGACACAAAACAACAAAGACTATTTTTGTCTCCTTTTGAGAATTAACCCCAACAAATATCTAGAAATCTCTATGGCAGAGCATATAGAAAATTAAATTCTCTACATTGATTGATCTTCAGCAACTAACTTCAGTTGCAGTGTCGAATACTTAATCATTAATGGTTTGATTTATCAGAAAAATTTAAAACGAACTCTAAATTCAATATACTAACTCCAAAAACATGAAAAACTGAATGAGCAATTTCATAAAAATGTAAATCACTGCTAAACTTTGAAACTGTTCATTTTATAACTGTCAATTAGGTCATAAAATTTCAGGTTGACTACATTCCAGGAATGGGAAAAGATATAGAAAATTGAGTGGGGACAGTAATGAAGATTGATGATTTGTTTTTTGAATTTTAGCACCTTGCCTCCCAAAAAAATCCAACAGTGGGGAAGTCTCACCCACTAAACATAATAATATATATACTAAACTTCCATTATTGTTTTGTAAGTTAGTGCTGAGGTGAAAAATTATCATGAAATTTTGTCAATGATTCATAATTTCAATACACATATTATATGTCTCACAACCTTGCAAGAAATCGATCAGCAAGAATATACCTGCAAAAGTAATTGGGGGAAAATCAATTGTTAGTTTCTCATTAAGCCAATCTTTAAAGTTTTTATGTAATTCCTCCAATGAATACTCAGAACATAAAATCTATATTATATCTTTAGAATCTTTAAAAGCCCAGCATTGATAATAAATATAAAAGGTTTGAATATCGTTATTTGAGTGAATCTTGGAGGAAGGGTATGACGACAACACCAAAATTAGTCATGACAATGTTCGAGAAGTTTTCGGGTGATGATAGGCATTATTCTTCGATTTTCAATATTTCTTTGAAAGGAGTAACCAAAACGAAATCCATATTTCCATGATGGACAAAACCCATTTATACCAACTATTCACATCTACCAAAATATACATCAACTGTAGTCACTCCGTTCACAAACTTGTATGTATTCCTAGGTGGAGATATGTACGAGGTTGTGGTGATAAAAAGTTCAATTTATGGGCCCTTTATCAGCATCTGGCATGCGTGATATTCCACAGTCACATTTGAAAAGTTTTGAATGAATCCAGTTATTGTTACCTTCAAAAGTTCTAAATATCACATACCAAATTTATAAAATAGGAATATTTTCGTCAACCAACTGATTCAAGTAATTGCATTTTAATTATTCTTTCATCATGATGATGATAACCAGCATTGATAATGAAGTTCAATTAAGTCATATAGGCACCTAAATATCTTAATCTTTTATTCTGTAATATTTTGCCAGGATACCTCAATAGTCATTACATTATAGCACTGTAGGTATAGAATTTGTAATTAAAATCTCTAATCAATGATTAAAATTTACTGTAGTTGCAATTATATAATGGGTATCAAATGTCGTTATTTCATTTAGTGTATTGATGAAATTCATTTAATTATTTAAGAGCTGTTTCACAATTGCATTTCAAACAAGAGTCAGGATAATCAGTCATTTTTCCACGAAGGGCTAGAATATTTATATGGAGTTGATGAGACGGTTAGAATAACTACTAAATTTATTATACCTAAGTTTAAATATGAACAATTGAACCTCGAGAGACCAATTAACGATTTTTAAATTTATCTCAGAGTAGATAAGATGGGTTAATCATACTGCTAATAATGCCCCCCAACTCTTAATCTGTTTTTCTTTCTGTACCCATGGATTTATAAATTAATAATCTTCTGGAATCCCACTCCAATTTGGGTTTTTGAATCACATCACAACATTCTTTCTATTTTCTAATGCTGAAATTGTATCAAAGATTTGCTGATGCCACTCATTTCTATCATGAGTTGAGATCACATGATCCGAATACAGATGGAGTTGCAAATATGAAAGAGAGTGTGGATATGATTTACATATTTATCTCATTGGGAGAGGAAAGCCAATAAGATGGCTCAATCATATGACGAACCACGACCCTCGTGCGGCAACCAGTTCATGTCGGCTATGGGATTAGTTAGCCAGTTATTTGTTTTCGGAAGCATGGACTTGATGGCGGAGGAAGCCGAAGAAATATGAAGCCATATGAAAAATAGGAGTTGGATTAATTTGTGGAGAGGGAAAAAACAGGCTTTTGTAGTATTATCAGTCAACTTTGACATCCATTAATTCACTTCAATAACAGGAAGATAAGTAGTCACACCATTGTGCAAACAATAAAATGCATTGAACCATGTAATGTTACTAAATAAGACTTATGTAACTTGATATTCCATATAAATTATTGATAACTTTTGTAAACTATTCTACCTGTGCAGCTATCATTTATTGATTGATTATCATTTAATTGGACTGGATCAAAGAATTCATTTTCATTCAAATCTTCATCTTTTGCCTTCAGTTCAAGTGGAGAATCTTCCAGCATAATATCATTAGCAGAAGATATTTTATCATCAGGGATATCTGTAAAAAATGTTGAATAGCATAAAGCATTGATAGCACAAGGGAAAATCATGATATAATACTCAATGGATGATACAAGACCGACACATTAATAATGATGTGTATGTTTAATCGAAAGTAAATAACTATATACATGTAAATTCTAGTTTATTTTCCCTGTTTCCGTAATTTTATAAAATTAGTGGTGGAGTTTTAGGAGTGGAATAAAAGCATCAAATATTGACTCATAAATGGCTAATACGTCAGCTAATTAGTTGTTCATACCTTTGTCTGCCTTTCCTGCAACCGTCAAATTCAAGCCATTTTCTTCCCGGCCAGGTAATAATCTATAAGCACAGAAAAGATACTGTAAATATTAATTTTTATAACACCGAGTGTGGCCAATAGCGGAAACGCGAGACCAAATTGGTATAAATATTCGGTAAAACACTCTTCGATACAATAAGCACACGGCATGATTTGAAAAGGAAAAATAGGCCAGTGCTTCGGTTTCGCCCTCAATTCAAACATAATGCCGCCGATTGTACATATCACCATTCTTATTCTGATGACAACAGATTGTCACAGCGTACACACTACGTTAAACGGTAGTCTTGAATCTTTTGTGGTCTTGAGCGATATCAAAATTATCTACGTGTGTCAAACTATATTACAGCAATGCCTTGTGAAATACTACATACTTACTAAAAGAGTTTCACATCGATATAACATTAACCAAAGTTTTAGTGTGAAAAATATTTGGTGTTATAGTATGCGAGATCTAAGTGTTCAACAAACCAAATTAAATTGTATATCGGAATCCCGAGTTCTCTGTGTTTGGTGTTACATTGATGAGACAAAATTATGACCGATGTTCGCCACAGCGAATTGTAAATAAACAAGTATTTCTGCCGTGGAACAGATGTCCGCAAATGGCACTTTCCCAATTTTAACAGGGTAAATACAGGGTAACTGATACTTCAGACGAAACGGTTCAGTTGCGCTGAGCACATGCAGAGAAAATAGTTAATAGCATCGGTTTCTCAGAGACGTATCGTCTTTCTCTTGTTCAACTATAACACACACAGAATGCCGCTTTACCAACCAACCAGTTCCTAATGAAAGCTCCGGGCAATAATTGTGTAAGAATAGCGCAAAAACTATTCTAATGTAATGACCATAATTTGGAATATCATATGTGTTCACATTGCTTTACAATGGGTTTCGACGTCTAAGTATCTATAGAACGAAATACAAATAGAACAAGCCAATAATTACTATCCGCCATCGCAGAATTTTTGCGGGATTTCACGTCAATAACCATTTTTCTCAGAGCTTTGTTACGTGACGTCCTGGATTCGACTGCGAAAAATGGATGCTAGAATGAGGCAATATTAGGTTTAGGCATAAAGATTCCATATCAAGTCATTATCAAATAATATGCTCCGTATCTTGTTATATGGCTGTATTTTACTAATAAATAGGAATAAGTTGCGCCAAAACTTGCCAATGGCGTATTTACAATTAGAATGTTCGTCAGTCCACACTTAGGCTGCAAAACTCTCCGATTTCATATGATCCAGAAGTTCTTCCTCGAAGAAAAGAAATTTTTAAATTTTCTGCATTTAATTCGTCATTGCTTCATAATGTTGATTGGCAAACTATTAGATTTAACTACTTCTTTTCTGTTCCTACTGTCAGTTCCCAGCTACAATAACAAAAATGCACGAAAGCATTCATATTTTATGTAAAATATGTAAGCTATTATTAAATATGCATCTATAATTGCAAAACCAAATTACTAGAAAAACAAATCACATGTTGTTGTGAGACCTAGAGACTTCCTATGGGTGTTAAAACATCAAAATCATACCACGAAGTTGATAAATTATGTTTTCTCGTGCCTCGTGGTATCTCAGTGTGCGGAACGCTTTTCTGTATAAGACGTTTGGATTTTAAAATCTCCAGGCACGGGATTGTATTTCCATGTTTATATGTCGATACCTACCGATGGTTCGTATTAAATTAATTCTTCGCTTGATAATTTGAATGTCGGTTTGAATTTCTGAAATATGTAATGTAAGAGAAATCGCCATTCACGTGCTCATTTCCAACAGACTTGACCATTTTGGCAAAACCATTCTACAGAAAACATCTGGGTTGAGGAGGGCTGCTGGTCATCTTTCAAGCATGAAGTACAGCAACAAAAGATGCAATCGAACAAAAAGTTTGGATTCCGAAGAGTTTGGGAAATTAATCCGCCGGGGCAAATCTTCTTTCAAAAGCAAAGTTAGAGTTCTATTTATTTCCCTCAGTCATAATCATAAGGTGTTCGTAATAATAAGTATCCATTTTGGGAAAGAACTTTGAAAGTTGTTAGCGTCGAAATGTTACTAAAAATATACCGTTAGCTGCAGACTAATGAGCAAAATGACCATTTTGTGTCGAGATTATCCTGAATCTCCAACTATTTTGAATCTTCTACTATACGACTCCGAGACTTGGAATTGTCATATTAACACCTCAACAACCTGTATGAATGTAAAAATTTTGGCGATCTGTCACATTCACATATAAATAATTCTTGCTTTTATCAGCAAATTGTTTGGGACACATTTAGCGGTATCACATGCCTCCCTCCTAATGCGTAGGTTCATGTTTAGCTCCATAGCCTGTTTGTTGGTGGTTTCGTCTGACAAATAACTACATCGTGGATCAGCAGGTCCAATTCTTCCAATTGTAGTGATCTTCAACACATGTGCTCATAATAAAACACATTGAAATCGTTCTTGGCGACCCATTATCCAAGCTAGGAATCGAGGTTTCAGTCAAAAAGTGAAATATTACCTAGTTATAAACCAGTTTGATTTCTCAAAATTATTCCTTGAAGATTTTTAGAAAGAGCTCAAAATTATTTCAGAGATTTATAAAATCCAGTACTTTCTCAGCGTGCGTCAGGCCCGGAATGTAGAGCTCTTTACTGACTTTCCGCGAGTCTAACCAGTAGAACATTCTTTTGGTGCGTTATGGTCTATTTTATGTGGTTACTGGTATGTGATTCAACCTTGTAGTACACTATTTTTATACTGTAACTGAGACAGAGATGTGTCTTCACATTTGACAATGAGTAACGTGTGAACATCGATGTTGAAGTGTTTGTAGTAATAATATATTCTTCATAGCGTTTGTCCCCACCTAAGATAGAATATGAAAATTCAAAGCCGAAAACTTTATGATATTCGGCGTATATTGCTAAAAGTCATTGTTGTAAATATGTGCTAGAGCTCGTATGGGGCTAATCCCACCGTTATCCGTGAACATAGCCGCAGCCATAATAAATGGTAAAAGGAATTGCATATTCACCAGCCAATAAATGGTTTGTTTGTAAATGAGCAACGTGTTTGCGTAGTTTTGGAATTAATTATATGTGCATTACATTGCATTGTTTCAGTTAAAATTACATTTCACTTCCTTAAATGTGGATTAAATATCGGGCTATGTATTGAAGCGATGCGAGGCTAAAAACCGTGTCGCTGAGATGCCTTAAATTTTTATTTCTCCGAACGACGACGAAGATCTCCTATATTTCGTACTCACCAGTCACCACCAATTCAACTTCGAACTCAAGTTCAATAACCTAGTTGCCTCAAACAGTAGAAAAACAACTGAAACGCTCCTAACGCCTCATTTAGGTGAAATGAAAAGTCGACTTCCAGTGGAAGACGGCTAAATCGACAGTATTGTTGCAATGCGCACAAATAGCGAATGTGCAAAACGCGCTAGTTCTTTCAGTAGATCTCCAGCTCCATTACTTGAATCGATTTGCCAGACGAGACGCGATTTTTGGACCAAACATCGCAAAGAAGATATTGCTTCATATAGATTGAGAGTGTACCATACCATAAGTCCACGAAAACAAAAATTAGAATGTACGATGCTCTTTTCTTCGTGTTATTTCACGGTCGAAAAACTTACTTTTCTAGTTTTTCGTCGAATAACGATACTTCTGGGTCTTCTGGACACAACACATATTAGCCGGTTTTCGCAATTTTACTCTGTGCTGCCTTTATATACGCACAAGTTTAAAAGCGGGTTTCGAGTTCTGGCAAGAAAATAAACAACTTCTCCAAATTTTCCGAAAATAACAAAACTGAATATTATTGAGTTGAAATTGACCAATAAAATGAAAAAAAAAACTCTCCTATTTACCAAACATAAATTCATCTCACCTCGAATCGTCAATTGTTGTACCGGAATTGCTCATATCTTTGGTATTTTCGACATCCATGTTCTGATTACTCATCTACATTACGCCATTACAGGTTCGCAGCAAAAAAGTGATTTGACATTTTATTTAAAAAGCCGCCTTCATCGTTTTGCCTAATATAACACTGTTAATTTTTTGAGATTGTTAAAGTATTGAAACGTAAATCCCATGCACATAGCACAATTAAATAGCTTGCAACGCCTACCAAAGCGTTCGCACCACATTTCCATAGACCGCTGAACTCGTTCGTTGGAGCATGAAACCAATCCATTTATGTAATGAACAACGGTAACCTGTGCACATTTACTTAGTTACGAACAATCAATTGTACAACTGTTCTCGATGGAATTATCTTTTATAATGTCCACTCAAAATCAACGCAACTTTAAGTGTTAGCAATTAATTCTATAATATTTAGAAGCGAAACATTATAAACACTCACATTTTGCACAAAGTGAGTTAGGCTCAATCTACTCGAGGAAAGCTCTGTAACACTCGTTGCGGTGCTCAATTGTGATCAGTGAATAATCTTGCGTCGTATGATAAAAAAATAACATTTTATATACTAGGATCTACGAGCGCTTTTAAACTTAAAAGTAAACCACCTATTAACCGATTTACATAGTACTGCTGATATTTCTAAGGTTGAACTTCCTGCAACTCAAATAGTAAGCGAAGAACGTGCACCAAACAAACGCAGAAAGATCGATCAATATTTCGCGTCAGTGCCCGAAGAAGGTCTGAATTGCGTGTCAAATCACGTTTACAGTCCATTGGTGCAGTTCCTGCGTTTTGGAGTCAGCTCCTCGTTTATAAACTTCGCGTGTTCCAATTCCGATAGACAAGGTAATTCCGCAAATTTCGTTTTCATCGTAACGTTTATGACTCTCGAAAGCTTCAACCAAAATTTGAAACAAGACAGACGACTTAACTTGGTGCACATTCACGTCGTGTCGCTTTCCGTCTACATACAAACGCACGCCATACTTTCTAGACTACGGTAACTCGATGTAGAACGGATCAATACTTTAAAAGTTAGTGAAAGCCCCAATTCCAAGCCGGAAATCAGGACTGCGCCTATCACGATACTTCGTGATACCATCGTACCAATAATACAATGACGACACGCGCACTTATCGAGCACCGAGGCGTGTTTACTAAAGACTATTGAAATCTAAAATTGACATAAGACATAGCAACATGCTCCCAGCGGTACGTCCGAAGGAGCAGATTCGAACGACATAGTAAAAGGCATTGGTTGTACATCAACGTATCAAATTTATCCCCAACTACATGATCTGATAACGTAGTTTTGAACAGAGCACTACACCGGAGACGTCGATCCACAGCTAACTATCGTATATGTTATCGAGGTTAATCCACCTGCCTCATACACAAAAGACATACACCAAAATCGCCTCGAGGCACACGTGGAGTGATGCTGATTTTCGAAGCGAATTGAGCCCGCGCACGTATCAGCTAATACACTGATGGCATAAAATGCATAAATATCTACTATAGTCGGAGCCTAACATTAGTACACAATCTGTATATGAGCAAACCTTGCTCCGACTTAAACCATAAATAAACAGGATGTCTCACGGACACGTTGGGCATCCGCCCCGAGAGTCGCAATATAAAAAGTGTTTCGGTGGTTAGTTATTTCATTCGTCACTCGTTTTCACTTCGTATTTTTTACTGAGCGTAAGTCAAAAATGAGTCACGCAAGCAAAAAAAACTGAGATTACACAGTACGCAGACGAGCTCGTCTCGGTTGGGTAGGGTTGGCAGAGTCTCAGCGCCTGTTCTTTTGACTTCAACTCTATTCCATGCACAAGTACACATCGAATGTGTGTGCGTCGTTGTGTGCGCGCGCACTTATATTCAGTGAAGGAGTCCGGAGCACAAAGGGGAAATGGTCTGCAGGTCTCGCATACCTCGATGTGCTCCGTGTATTTTTATAAAACCCTTTTTCTCTTCAGTCAATAATAGTCGCCGCACAATGCTTCGAATTTGATCGCTGAAATTGTGAACTTTAATGTATTTATGCGATCAGTATGAATACGGGTGAACAAGAACCATCAATTCCAGTGGTGCTCTTGTATCTATATATCTCAGCATATATTTTGGACATCGCTGCTCCACACACATATATTTTTGTGACATATCTTTTATATTTTTTTTATTTAGGTTAAGAGCCTCACACATCCAAAGTTCCCCTCAATTTTTTACCTATTCCACTTTCATTATGGATAACCATAAATTGAATATTTTTCTAGTTTACGTGATTAACACAGCAACTTCATTTTGGCTAACATTGGCGAGTGTTCAGCACGGTACGTAGTCTGGTGTATTATTGGAATCGAAAATCAGTAACGTTACTTAGTCACTTTGACGAGTTCAATCAATAATTGATCGAAAAACATTTGGCGTTTTTTTTTGCTTATTCGACATGAACAAAAGCTCCGAAAATGATATGATCTTATGTTTTACAAGCTCCATATATTAACGTGTCGTGAATTTATAAAATGCACAAAATATTAAACTTGTCTTGTGTTCTAAGGATACTATTGAAAGTCATAGTTTTATAGGTGTTTAATCGAAGAATGACTGTGAATAGGAAGCGATAAAAGCTGATATACTTCCATCGCTACATTTACCATTCAGGAACGGTTTCAACTTCGTATTGTAGCGAAAAAATATTTGTAGCCTTTGTAGTTTCTGAACGTTTGACCACATGCCATAAACTGTCAGTTCTCAAAGCAGCATAGCCATTTTAACTTTTAAGTCTTTACAGAATAGACATGATCACGCCAGAAAATTGATTTATGAAAGAAATATCAAAATTGCGTGTGGTTGTGTCTCGTTTTCGATCCTTTTTTAATCCATTCCACGAATAAATGTTTACTGCAGACAGAGCTTTTTCTGCATGTCACTTTAAAATTTAAAAACATTCGTTTCAACGAGAATGTATGGATAATGTCACGCTGTTGTTAGGAATCACTTTATCTACACTTGGGGTTATAATAACTAAGGTTCGTTTGGCAACGCAGCTTTCTGTGTCAAGAGACTGAGTGTCACAGTATATATTATCGATTAGGACGTGCTGTTTCAAAACCAGCTCGCTTAATACGTCATTGAACAACATTAAGCAGACGGTCTATTGAATTTGTTATAACAGGCGTCTCGGTTTGATCATTGACGATAACATATAGTAGATGCTTTCAAATCTAATTCGCACAAATTATTCCCATTGCATTTGTTAATTATAACTGATCGGAGACCCCCAGGCTATAGGCTAAAAACAGCGCGGTTTGAGGTAGTTTTATCGTTGAATAAGTGAGAACATTTTTCTTAAACAAAGAGTTCGTCGAATAAAAACAAACTGCAATTCCAGTGTTTTTAGCTTACGCGGTGCGAGAACAAAACAGTCACTGTTCTATATATTATCCAGTTCACACGCGTCACAATGATTTGTGCCTGTAATAAGTTCATTCACTGCAATATAGAAACGGAACTACAAAATACGTATAAATAATAATTCAAATAATATTTATTATTTCAGTATAAGTCCATGAGAAATGGGTAAGTGAAAGTCATATTTAACAGCGTACCTTCATACCATGTCAATAATGCATGGTACTTGTATCAATTATTGATGGGACTATTGTACAAAGAAAAGAGTACAGACCCGCGCGGTCTATGAGAAATAATAAACTGTGTCTTCTGCTCTTAGTAAACAGAATGTGCTTTTCAGAATTACAACATCTGTAGAATTTGGCATCTAAACACAGTAAAATAATATATATGCTAACATTTTGAAACAACGAAAGGCAATCTTTATCCATTACAAGAGTGTTCTTCAAATTTGTTTCGAAAAGGTGTTGGATCAAAATATTAATATATTATGAAAGCACTGCACTAATGTATATATATCCCCGTTAGCGAATATGCCATACAACGCTCAATACACTTTCGTATATCCTAAATGACATATATCCTAAGTAAATATTGACTGTAAGTAACTTGCTCTATTTCACCCCAACCTACAGTTGAATTGAATCAGAATGGCATCAATGCCCCTTTACACTCTGAATTAAATAACGCAAAAAAGTAAGAATAAATCTAAAGAATGTTATTTTTGTTGCAGTGTGTCGACGAAGGATGAATCTTTTGTAGTAAAAAGTATATACAAGAATTTTACCATGTTTAGCAAATGACAACATTCCTGGGAATTCAGTCGGTATGCCCTGGGGTGATTGTCAACAAAACTTCTGTGCTGCGACCTGAGCTATGCATCGTTTTTTTAAAACAGATTTATATGACCAAACGCACGGATATGAATCGTTATAAAAACACTCCTTTCACATACGTTGGATTGTGTTTGTTCAGCAAACCATTTACGACTGTAATGCTCACTAAATAAACCTCATACATAGTTGTGAGCCCACCACTGATGCTTTTATATCATATATCACTTCATAAAATTAAATTCATAAGTGTGAAATGTGTAGGATCAGATTTTTTCTGCTTACAGATAATTATAAGTTGCAACTCCGTTCAAATGGTTTGACGACGAACTGCCTTATGAGTTTATCACTATTCATTTGAATTGGGATTTTTCCCATTTTATCAATCTGAACTGGTACTTAGAAATTTATATTCATGTGACTGGTCTAGAAGATTTGACAGAATTTCAAAGGAGCAACAAACCATGAAAATGATTGGTTCAATATAAAATTTTGTAGTTCAGCAGGATTTGTGTCGTCTCATAGCTAAAAACCATTTCATTTCATATTTTACAGATATTCTAACGAAAATGTTTTAAGTGGACAGTCGGCTTAATCAAACTCAGTTTTCAATTTCAATCGTACTCAATTTTTTTCAAGTATGCCGTAAATACGTAAATTCACCTATTAAATTGTCATCATGTCAGCCGGTTTTTGTGGCGTCTTCAGCACCACTGCATCTATATTCTATACATATTTATTACATTTATTTGTCGCCCTCGGCTCTAGGAATAATATCGAGTGACTTTGTTTCATTTTCGATTGAGCTTTTGAGACCTCAACACATTTATCTCATATATTTTATTAACCTTCTCTTCCCATGGAAAATTTGGATTCCAATTGATATCTCGATTTACAGGGTTCCAGGATTTTTACTCGGACATGATTCGTCAAATCACAATATTTTTAAATTCATTCTATTCCAACAATACTTCAAATTGATGACGTTATGGAAAAGTTATTGAGGGGACAAAAATTTTCTGGTCCGATTGGCTATCTTATGCGACATAATAAATATGGTCAAGAATACACGCCCTAAAAAATAATGAATTCGCCATATTAAAAATCGAATTTTTAGGTGAATTATTGTTCTCTAGGCACTTCTTTAGTCTCATTTAATGCTGATCATTATTCATCATTACTGTTGCAACTTTTCTGGAAGATCTATTCTTTTTGACATTTCAAATACGTAAATATACTTGAATCAACCTTGCTGTCGCGGGGTAGTTCATGTTGGTTTCCTCCACCATTCACGCCGTGCAACTGGAAAGTCGAACTGGTTATCTATTCTCTTGCATGAAACAGATTTGTAACCGCAAAAATAGTGGTATGTATGATTTGAGACGTCTTTGCATATTCCCCTTCCCTCGGGATAACGTAGTCCTATCATATCCCGTGACAATTGCTGTACTTTTTGTGATATAATACCAGACAATTTTACCGGAGAAACATTCTTTTGCTTTCGAGACATTCAAAATAATGGCGATATATATGTGTATCAGGTTTATTAGCCCACGCTCTGTATAAACAACCATATGGTCATTATGAGATAACAATAATGTGTATGTGTCATATTTTTAAAGTTGAAATGTACGCAGCCCTTTTACGAAGGATTAAAATAGCCATTGTGACCATATATCTATTCTATCCCTATTTCTAAC